ATCTTAGCGTGTATTCCAGTGTGTAGATTAGACGTCTGTACCTGGGAGTGCCTTATTACGTCTCTGAGTGTGCTGCATTCATTCATGAGTATGACTTGGTACAAACCAATCAGCGCGCTCGATTATGTAATTGTTTGGAGACATCGGTCGTCAGTGTTGCGTTTATAATTTGCTGCAGTGAAGGTTTTGTTTGCATTTTCCCTCTATGAGAGCGCAGCTGGACTCACGTGTGGATTACAGTGCACGCACCATAGAAATATAGTACGTGTCTAAGCTTTTCTCATCTGGAAATGGTGAAATCCGAATTTGCTGCTTGTCTCCTTTTAATAAAGACGTGGATCCAGTTGGTGTTGATAGAGTTTTTGGTAACACTTTATAATAACTACACACTATAAATCATTTATTAAGTATTAGCAAATGGTGAGTTCATTATCTGTTAAGCGTTAACTCTACATTAATAAGCGTTAGTAAGCATATTATAACCGCAGCTACAAATGCTGTATTCTTGACTTGTAAACATATTTAAAATGTGCTTCATAATTGTACTTTCATACTTAGCTATCGATTTATTTTTCATTACTAAATTAAGTATTGCATTATTTACAAACCATTTGTATTTAAGAGTAGCTGAGGGTTTTTAGGATCCTTCAAAATGAGTTAGAGAATGATTAACAAACTATTGAAATCAACGTTTTTTCATTTATTTATTCCTTTTCTTGTCGGCTTAGTCCCTTTATTAATCCGGGGTCACCACAGCGGAATGAATTGCCAACTTATCCGGCAAGATTTTACGCAGCGGATGCCCTTCCAGCCGCAACCCATCTCTGGGAAACATCCACACACACATTCACACACACACTCATACACTACAAAAAATTTAGCATACCCAATTATCCTGTACGCATGTCTTTGGACTATGGGGGAAACCGGAGCACCCGGAGGAAACCCACGCGAAGGCAGGGAGAACATGCAAACTCCACACAGAAACGCCAACTGAACCGAGGTTCGAACCAGCGACCCAGCGACCTTCTTGCTGTGAGGCGACAGCACTACCTACTGCGCCACTGCCACGCCGTCAACATTTTATATTTAATTATTTAGGCAAATATTAATGGTTACTATGCATGTTATTAAACGCTTCATTAACTCAACTTCATCTAGTTTTGTGACCTATTCTAAAGTGAGGACTATTTATGCTTTATAAATCCCTTATAAATGACAAATAAAGGCTCAGTTAAATTCTAAGAATGACTTTATTCATTTCTATTCATTTAAAGATACACAGATGAAACTGTACTGCAAATGAAAAATACTGAAAAATAGGTGTAAACTCTTGAATAAATTATTATTGGCCTAAAACCAGACGTTTCAGTTTCATTGTCCAACCCAGGCCTGCCCAAACTCAGTCCTGAAGGGCCTTTGTCCTGCATATTTTAGTTCTAACCCCAATTAAATAAACCTGAACCATCGAATTAAGCTCTTTTTAGGTATACTAGAAAGCTCCAGGCAGTTGTGTTGGAGCAAGTTCGAGCTAAACGAGTTTGGACACCCCTGGTCTAACCCCTTAGTGGACTAATATAGGGAATGTTGAATTAGCGTATAGGGAACGATTTCAGATACAGCACGAGTTTCTCTGACTTCTGGGTTAAATCTTTCTTCTGAGGGAACATAAGCTTTAGTTGTCTTTGTCCGGGAGTAATCTTCCCTGCACTCAGAGATCCGCTGTTCGCCAGCGTGCTGATTTGAGGGAGTTTTATCCAGCCTGCATTGAGAAGGACACTAAGACGTCTATTTAAAGTGACCGGGCGCTTTGAGATTAAAGCTGCATTGTGTAACCCGGCAGATATTACAGAAATGAGCAGGTCACCATAGCGACTAGCTGATCACATGTGTGTATTCTCTATCTATTCAACAAAAGCTCGTTTGCAGCGTGGTCACTTTCTGGAGATCACACACCCGTTCCTGAGGGAAAAGACTATCTCGGATGATCCAAAGAGAAATAACGGACAATTCATCATTCATTCATTCAAGGCTCAGTCCCTTTATTAATCTAGGGTCACCACAGCGGAATGAACCGCCAACTTATCCAGCATATGTTTTACATAGCAGATGCCCTTCCAGCCGCAGCCCATCACTGGGAAACATTTTATACAATTTATATTACTCAACTCACCTGTATCACATGTTTTTGCACTTGTGGGGGAAACCGGAGCACTCAGAGGAAACCCACGCTAACACGGAGAACGGCTGATTTATACTTCTGCGTCAAACACCGGCGTAGGCTACAGCGCTGACGCATAGCCCTTCGCCGTGGCCGTCGCCGTCACTGACGTGCACCTCTCAAAAATTGTAACTACACGTCGCAACAACGCGTAGCGCAAGCTCTGTGATTGGTCGGCTTGCTAGCGCCGACGAGTCTGGGCGGGACCGAGAGCCGCGCGAATGGCGCGAGCGATTGTTTACAAGTGTGGAGTCCCGTGAAGGAGCTCCAGATGGAAAGTTTTGTTTTGTGTTTACCTCATTGTTAAAGTTGTTGCACGTCCGCCGGTTCCTGCCTCAAAATGAGCGAGTTTGAGTCACTTGTACATCCAGGAAGTGTTCAGAATAGCAAAACAGAAGCGAAGAAACTCGACACAGAGGAACATTTACACCTCACTGCCCACTAGCGTTTCGGAAGTGTTAATGCAGACCAACAGAGACAGCGCGCAGAAGTATAAATGCACAGCTACGCACGTTGACTGCGCCGTGAGTTGCGCCGGTCACTTGACGCAGTAGTATAAACCAGGCTTAACTCTACACAGAAATGCCAAGTGAGGCTCGAATCAGCGACCTTCTTGCTGTGAGTCGAACGTGCTACCCACTGCTCCACTGTGCAGCCCCTATCGCAAAATACTTAGTATTTTTGCTAAGTGCATAACAATAAAGACTGTTCAGTAAGACTACAATTTAATTTACTTTCACCTCTATCGCCTATATAATCACACATACAAGGAATTTGTTTTCGTGACAGAGCTTCTAAAGTGCAGCGAAAAAAATTACATTTAGTCATCATTTACTCACACCTTTTAGTTCAATACAAAACAAGACATACTGAAGAATGTTGGGGAAAATATCCATTGACTTCCATAGCATATGGAATAAACTGTATAAACACTTTAAACAAAGTGAATTCAGACATGTTTATATTAATTTCAAGAGTTCACACTTAGCTCATGATTTATACATAGCTTGTTTGGCATGCTGTCCCGGGAGAGAGCCCTGAGCTCAAGGGATCCTCGAGCCCAGGGCTCCCCCCCCTTTTGCAGGGCGAGTGGAGATTGAGCTCAGGTCTATCTCAAACTCCCCCGCTGCTGAGGCCAAGGCGAACTTCCTGAGAGTAAGACATTATAAAAAAGGTTTAGGCTTATTTTATCTATAATATAGAGCACATTTGGATGGTGGGAGGAAACCGGGGAACCCGGTGGAAACCCACGCGGACACAGGGAGAACATGCAAACTCCGCACAGAAATACCAGATGGCTCAGCGAGGACCCAACACCATTGGTATTCTTGCTGTGAGGCAACAGTGCTAGTCACTGGGCCACCGTGCCGCCCATTTTGGATAAAGGAGGAAGAAGGAGTGGAGGGGGGTTTCTTCCAATGGAAGATAGTTGTAGAAAGAAAATGAGGATATATATAGTGATGTGGGATCCTTTGATTGGAGGATCATAATCATCTAATGTAGACCAGCTGGGTCAATCATGAGCACATGCTCCTCTCGAAATTAGTTTAGAATTAAACTTCACTTCAACATGCTTTCAAGATTAAACATATGAGAGAAATATGGGAAAATACCTAATAATAGAATATACTGGTAAAATACGACACAATCCCTGGAAAAAACAGGAGGGTTGTCATGTATGAAGTGAAGTGTTTGTCAATCAACAGTTTTGCGAGGGAACGCAAAATTCCACTCATTTTTTTTCTCCACGATCACGTCCTTTCCGGGTCTCCATACATAAGACATTACACCATTTCCTGAATCTTTAAATTTTTTAGGTGGATTATGAACTTGAATGTGATCTGAGCAGCTTTCACTCATTCATTTTTATTGAGGAAAATGTCTGAAATGGTTCAATGAAGGATGCAGTATATTGTGCTTAGAGCGTTGAAACAGAGCATATGCACTGAAAAGTTTATGGCGCTGAATGTAATTTAGGTCAGGCCTCTAATAAGGACTAATGGCAGGCCATTTGCAGTATTAATTCCACGCTTGACTCGTTCAATTAGCGCTTGAAGAACTGAACTCACGCTAGTCTGCTTTACTGCCTGCCTGAGAATCTCACTCATATCTCTTCATTCTGTCCTTTTTGTCTTCTTGCTGTTCTTTTGACTCTTTTTCTAGGTTTACACTTTCTTTTATATCTGTCCTGTTCGTTTAATGGGGTTTGTTTTTATCGTTTGTTCTATTCTGATCATAAACCTTTTCCTATATTGTTTCCGTTTTATTTTTGAATTGTTCTGTTTTTGTTATAAACATTAGTCAGAGAAATTTAAATGGTCGCACATTGCAATAAGGTTACATTAGTTAATGTGTTAAATAACATGAACTAAGAATGAATAATAATAATGTTTATTAATTTATTCAAATAGTTCAACATTTACTAATGCTTTATTAAAATGCTGAGTTGTGCTTGCTAACATTGAGTAATGCAAAATAAACTAAACTTTACACTTCTAGGCTGTATGGTGGTTGAATGCCTTAGTGTCCCACCAGTGACGATATACAGCCATATTGCACTGCTACTCATGTGATGTTCAGAGATGGCAAAAGTAAACACATCCTTTACTCAAGTATACGTACAGATTCTCATGTTTAAAACGACTCTAGTAAAAGTTAAAGTACTGTGTCATGACTGTCATGGTCCACTAGGTGGCACTGTAGTTCGCTAGCGAACTTTAGTAGCGAACTACAGTTGTTCAAGAACTACAAGTCCATACATTCCACATGCACACACCCGGCTTTCACTTACACTGATTACATACCCAGCTGACTCCAGTTCCCGTTTGATTCTTGGACCAGGGCCGGAGTGGGACTCCTTTTCAGCCCTGGAGTTTCAAGCCTCAGACCGGCCCACCTCAGTTCACGACTGACAATATTAAAATAAGGTCATTTCCAATTCAGTTTCTAATGACACTATCACGTCTTTTTTTTTTTTTTTTTTTTTGGAGAAAACAGCTGCTTTAGAACTTCAAATGTTCAACAACAACAACCCAAACAGTATTATATGTCTCAACAATAAAAATGAAAATAATAACATACTCAGGCAAGGATCAAACCCGAGTCGGCGTCGTTGTAATTTAACGTGCTAACCACTGGGCCACAACAGTTGTGCAGTGAAAGGTGACTTATGACATTATGAACCTGCAGGCCGGTTATATATAAAAAGAGCAGAGAGCTGCGGTAAAATAATGAATAAGAAGACTGTGGTCAAGTAAATAAATAAATTAATTTAAAAAGTGTGGCTGCTGAGAGCAACAGATTCTGGAGCTAGGGACACCGGCCCTCGCGGCCAAAAAACGGACCGGCCCACCGGGAATTCTCGCGGTCCTCCCGATTAGCCAATCCGGGCCTGTCTTGGACTATTTATACACCCTGCACCCGTTTGTTTGGACTGAGTCGTTTGTCTAGCTTGTCTTGTTTAGTTTGGTATGTTGTTCCTGACCTAGTTCCTTGTTTTGTTTGTTTTATCGTTATTTTGATACTTTGATTTTTGATGTCCTGTTTTCTTCTATTAGTGATGGGCAAAGCGAAGCTTCATGAAACCCTGAAACAGTCGAATCAAATGTGTCAAAGCTTTGAAACGTTTCGAAACCCCACTCTACGGTGACACCTAGTGGTCATTGTTTTTGTATTGCACTGAAACAGCTTCAGGGCGAGGCAGTGGCGCAGTAGGTAGTGCTGTCGCCTCACAGCAAGAAGGTCGCTGGGTGCTGGTTCGAACCTCGGCTCAGTTGGCGTTTCTGTGTGGAGTTTGCATGTTCTCCCTGCCTTCGCGTGGGTTTCCTCCGGGTGCCCCACAGTCCAAAGACGTGTTACAGGTGAATTGGGTAGGCTAGATTGTCAGTAGTGTATAAGTGTGTGTAAATGTGTGTGTGAATGTTTCCCAGAGATGGGTTGCAGCTGGAAGGGCATCCACTGCATAAAAACTTGCTGGATAAGTTGGCGGTTCATTCCGCTGTGGCGACCCCGGATTAATAAAGGGACTAAGCCGACAAGAAAATGAATGAATGAAACAGCTTCAGCAAAGAACAGTTGAGCAAATTGAGATATTAAACCCCACTTTGTAGATTCAACTTTCAAGTGATTTAGTGGAGCGGTAGGAGTTCTTGATTATCATGCGGGGGATAATGGGTTCGGATCCAGGCTGATACAACTGTTTGAAATTCGATTAAACCAGTTTGTAATGCTTTGCTCTTGTGTCGTTTTGTTTCAACATTGGTCTGACATACGAAAAAAACACTGTGAATAAATTTGTCTTGTTTTGGTCACAAAACAGGGTTGTTGCTAGATCAGACACGGACCAGACAGATCAGACATTAAATTTCCCATTTATTGTATTTTATTAACGTCTACCCAAACCCTAAACTCAACCTTCACAGTACTGTAGACATATTAATTATTGTTTTACAGTTTTACTAAAATGATGCTAAACTGATGGTGTATCCGCAGCTGTATCCTATTTAGACTACACCATAAAACAGAAACATGATTAAAATACATAAAACCGGGATTTCGGAGTATTTGTATAAGTCTGGATTCGAACCCAAGAATTTATTGAAGCACAGTAACAGCGTGCACACGCACAGTTTACAAGGCCAGTGTTTCTCAACTGGTGGGTAATGACCCAAAAGTGGGTCACGGGAACATTTTCAGTGGGTCGCGGAGTGTGTAGTCAAAAAAACTAAAATTTATTTTTTTACTTATTTTGCTTATATCAGACTTTTATTTTGAAATCCGTGTGCGACAACCGAACTTGTCCTTACCCTAACCACTGTTTACAGTATTTGACGTTTTTACTCTGTAATATTTCTATAATTTTCTGTATTTTGTTAAATGACAGTAATAAAATATTGTTTATTTGTAAGCCTTGGTGATTTTCTTATGATTTATCTGTCACTACTTGGGCATGTTAACAAATAAATACAAATTAATTATAATTCCTACAATTTTATTATAGTTCCTAAAAATTTGGGTCGCGGCTTGATGACCATGTACAAATGTGGGTCCCATGGCCAAACTAGTTGAGAACCACTGTACTAGGCCATATAGGACAGAAATGTTTTCCTGACCCTGGCAGTCAAATCCAAATTCGCCAGGTCCCGAAACGCTTCTAAACTGATCGATGCTTTGAATCGCTTTTGTCACTTGACCAGGTGTATATATATATATATATATATGTAATGTAATGTAATGTAATGTTCAACCTTATTTGTTTAATTAAATTCAACCCATATAAATTAGCTTATAAAAGAATTAATAAATCAATTAAATTATTTTTTTCAGTGCAGGATTACTTTTTTCTAATTATATAAGACATTTTTATGAATAATCTATTCTCAGAGAAGCAGTTTAATAAGCGTAAAGTGAAATAATGAGGACAGGTCAGCGGCATCTTTAAACAAGTAAGATAAATTCATTAAAGTGTGCGGATAGCGAGTTTTACCATAGACTCTTCATTATTTTTCTTCTTTTTGATTACCTTTTAATTATTATTTTTCCTCCTGGCTCCTCGTTCCTCAGGTGTACATTGTGCCACAAGCAGCCATCTTCAAGATGGAGGGTCTGGAAGGAGCAGAAGCCGAAGCCGCCATGCTGAACAACATGCGTGTTTACGGGACGCTGGTGCTGAGCTTCATGGCCATCGTGGTGTTTGTCGGAGTGAAGTATGTGAATAAACTGGCGCTCGTCTTCCTGGCCTGTGTCATCTGTTCAATCCTCGCCGTCTACGCCGGAGTGATCAAGACTGCCTTTGAGCCACCAGTTTTCCCGTATGTTGAGCAAAGATCTCATAAATCACTATTAAACTGAAGTGTTTTCCATTTATTTACAGTTGTGAACTATGAATTCACAACTGTAAATAAACAGAAAACACTTGTTAATACAAACTGTTGATTAACAAATGTGTTTTACAGTGTACCCCAACCCTAAACCCACCCCTCACAGTAAAGTAAAAAGCAAAAATGATTAATATTATTATTAAATGAGCCTTGATTTGTATGTGCAGGGTCTGTGTGCTGGGAAACCGGACTCTGGTTTGGAAAGGTTTTGATGTGTGCGCGAAGGTCATCGAGAGAGAAAACGCCACGGTCACAACCAAACTCTGGCGGCTCTTCTGCGACTCTGAGTTTCTGAACGCCACCTGCGACACCTATTTCACCAATAACAACGTCACCGAAATGCAGGGAATCCCCGGGGTGATGAGCGGCACCCTGCGCGGTAAACACAGACACAATCCATCTTCCTCACAATACACTGAGGCATAACTAATAAATTCATTATTTATACTGTGCTCCAGTGTTCAAATGTGTAGTGTCATCCATTTTGTGTTATACAATTTTTTTTTTATAAACAGGAACACTTTTATAAAAAAGATGCAATTAATTGATCAAAATGTTGATATTGATTTTTATATATATATATATATATATATATATATATATATATATATATATATATATATATATATATATATATATATATATATATATATTAGGGATGCTACGGTTCTTAATATAATATTGAACTGTACGGTATGACCTCCACGGTTCAATACGTACTTGTGAATTGCGGTTTTCTAGGGTTTATGTTTAAATAATTTGACTGTGTGCCTGTAAGTCCATTAGCTGAAATGAGGAAACTCCTCCCCGCGAGTAAATATCCAATCACTGCGCTCTTAAGTTAGGGGGCGCTTGACCATCATTCCACACTTTAACATGGCGAGCGGCGGTGAAGTGAGGCTGAGGCAACACCACAAGGAAGCGCCGGCGAAGTGAGGCAACAGTACGAAAAAATCGCCGGCGTCTTTCAAATCTGCGGTGTGAGGACATTTCAGTTTTGCCGGTAAGCATAATGCCAATAAAAGAAAAAACAGTGAACAAAAAATAACTGTGTGCAAGCATTGTTTTACACGTATAACCATGACTGCACATCTGCAGCGCCATCACCCAACAATACCACTGTCTGAAGACAGGATAGCAGAGAAGGTAATAAAGTCCTCCAGATAACAATAATCCCTCGCTGAATCCTTAAAGCAAACATCCCCAACTGGTTCCGAGAGACACATAAAAATAACAAAGTCAGTGCGGGTGATTATTGCTAAAGATTTGCAGCCGTTTTCTGTGATTGGAGATGTGGGCTTTTGTCATTTTATAAAAGCACTTGATCCGCGTTACAGACTACAGTCTCGCATTTTTTCAGCACCGAGATAATTAAGATGGTTTATTTATGTTTACTGAAGTACAAATATGTTTATTTAAAATAGCCAATTTATCTGTATTAACTTCACATGTATGTTTATTTTCAAAGTGTAGGATTTTATGTGTTCCCGAGTGTGTACATGGGCTACCAGCAGCTGTGAGACTTCAGTGTTAATTTTTTTATGCAATATACTAGGAACTAGTGTACTTTTTTTGGCTTTTAAGGAAAACAAAATGAGAATTGCAATAAATCATTTTTATTTTTTTCTTCTTAACCTCTTACTGTTCCTATTGATAATAGAATAAAATGTAAAAAAAAATATATATATATACGTGTCAAGCCATGACAACCGAACCGAACTGAAAATCGTGTTTAAAAAACAAGGTATGTATTGAACCGTGGGCTAACTGTAATGTTACATCCCTAATATATATATATATATATATATATATATATATATATATATATATATATATATATACACACAGTTGAAGTCAGAATTATTAGCTCCCCTTTTTCTTTTCTTTTTTAAAATATTTCCCAAAATATGTTTAAGAGAGCAAGGAAATTTTCACAGTATGTCTGATAATATTTTTTCTTCTGGAGAAAGTCTTATTTGATTAATTTCAGCTAGAATAAAAGCCGTTTTTAATTTTTTTAGAACCATTTTAAAGTCAAAATATTTTTTTTCGACTGTCTACAGAACAAACCATCATTATACAATATAACTTGCCTTACTAACTTAGTTAAGCCTTTAAATGTCACTTTAAGCTGTATAGAAGTATCTTGAAAAATTGCCTCACGTTTGTTGCGAATAGCCAAATTGCTTGTCCCAATCTTGTCGTTTAACGTGTAGTTGGGAAATGGAGAAATTTGTAAAATGTACAAGTAATCTAAATGTGCAAATTTCCCTCTTCCAGAGAATCTCTTTGGGAATTATATGGATAAGGGAGCGTTCATTGAGAAGACTGGATTATCATCTGTGGTTGAACCTGATTCCATCCCAACCAACACTAACCGATATGTGCTGGCCGACATTACCTCCTTCTTTACCATGTTAGTGGGCATCTACTTCCCTTCAGTGACAGGTTAGTCACTTCCTCACAATGTGATCTCATTCAGCATTCATGACTGGGAAAACTGATCTTGTCCACTGTGAAAAATGCTCCACTTAATTCCTTCATGTTGACCCAACACAAATTAAGTTAAAGCTTAATTGTTTTTACACATTTAAGTGGATTGATCATAAAACTATTAAGTTGTCCAAAACAAATCGCAGGAATTGTGTTGTTTCAACTCATTTTATTTCAGTAGTTTGAACAAAAAGCAAAAGTAATTTATGTGTGAGGGATGTTTGGGAATGAAGACACCAAGTGATAAGGTGTTTCATGTGTAATTTTGTCCTATTCTTTTTGCAAACAACAGTACGGGGTCTTCATTATCTAATTTTATGCTTTAAAATACACCACACATTCTCTATTGGAGACAGGTCGGGACTGCTGGCAGGCCAGTCAAGTACCTTTATCCTCTTCCTCTGCAGCCAGGACCATGTAATGTGTGCAGATTGCGGTTTTGCATGTCGTGTTGAAATATGCATGTGCGTCCCTGGAAAAGAAGGCAGCATATTGTGCTCCAAAATCTCGATGTACTTTTCAGCATTAATGGGGCATCACAGAAATGCAAGCTACCTTGTCCAATGGCACTTGACCATGACAGACGCTGGCTTTTGGACTTGTCGCTGGGAACAGTCTTGATGTTCCTTGTCTTCTCTGGTCTGGAGCACACAGTGTCTATTTCTCATGTTTCCACTGTGTGATGCTCCATTCCAGATGACTCCAAGCCCAAAGAAGACGATGGTGCTTCTGGACACTGTTAACATAGGGCTTCCTTTTGGCACAGTACAGTTTTAACTGGCATTTGTGGATGTAACTACGTATTGTGGTACTTGACAAAGGATTGCTAAAGTATTCCTGAGCACATGTGGTGAGATGGCTTATAGATGGATTGATGATTCTTCATGCAGTGCCGCCTGAGGGACCAGAGATCACGATAGTTAAGCTTAGACCTGCGCCCTTGTCCTTTACACACTGAAATTCCTCCAGATTCCTTGAATCTTTTAGTGATGTTCTGCATTGTTGAAGGTGAAATATCCAAATGTCTTCTAATCTTTCTTTGAGGAGCATTGGTTTTGAATATTTCATACATTTTCTTGTGTATTTGTTGGCCAACTGGCAATCCTCTGCCCATCTTTGCTCCTCAAAAACTAGACCAGGGCTATTCAATTGGCGGCCCGCGGGCCGAATCCGGCCCCTGAGACACTTTGTTCCGGACATCCAAACAGTGTGACCAAGACATCAAAAGTAAATTTAGTTCACTCAACAAACAGCCGCTATAGTTATGAAGTTACGTGCGTCTGTTCAATGACAGCACGAGCTGCAGTTAAAGGCTGCACAGAGCGTGAATCATCATAAGCGAGTGGTGCGGGCAGCCGAAAACATGTTTGTAGAAAAGGCTATTTGTACAATGCACTGATATCGTTAATAGGAATGCAACGATTTGCCGATTTCACTATTAACTGCGCTTTAATTCAACACAGTTTATTAATCGTAAAGTCTTCTTTAAGCCGCATTTCTGTTGCACAGAACGAAACCGCTGCAAAATGCCAAGTTGCCTGTGCGCTAGTTTTAAGTTTGAAGTACACCGAGGCTAATATACGCACGCACACAGGATTAACTATAGCAGCGGCCATTCCCATATCACGACTTTTCCGCTTGCAAGTTTGTTATTTCTAATGTAAGAATATATGACAATATGCGGGCGCCAGCGGAGCGACGCGATTGCGTCTTTCAGGGCGCACGCAGTAGAAAACATCTCACGGTGAGAGTGACTTTCAGTGCAATGTAAACAAAAGATATGTTAAATTAGACGAATTATCATTAAAATGATTATGTATGCATGAATGCAGATGGCAACAACAGTTAATCTAAATATCTACTTACCTAATATAAAGCTTGAATTTACATTAGACGTGATAACAGTGAAAGCAAGATTATTCTTCAGACTATATAATCGTACAACCAAAATCTATTATGTTGCATCAGTAATTGTTGTGCTGTTCAAAACATAACATATGAATGTGTCTGAATGTAGAAGAAGCATACTTCAGCAATGCACTGCTTTTGTTGTGCTCTGAAATACAACATTTGAATGTTTGTAAAAAAAATTTTTAAAAAAGTCTATTGTACAATGCACTGATATTATGTAGTCTCAAAACACAATATATTAACATTTTTATGTAGAAAAAGCCAGTGTGGCTTGAGTTGCAATGAGTTGCAGGTCTGAATGACAGGAAATGATGATAATGTGCAAGATTTGAGCATTTGCTAAAATAAATAAATAAATAAATAAATAAATAAATAAATAAATAAATAAATAAATAAATTATGTGCAAGATTTGGGCATTTACTAAAATAACTAAATAAATTTTAAAAAAATAAAAAAATAAATAAATAAAGTGCAAGATTTGGGCATTTACTAAAATAAATAAATAAATAAATAATACACAAGATTTAAGCATTTACTAAAATAACTAACTAAGTAAATAAATAAATAATGTGCAAGATTTTGGCATTTACTAAAATAAATAAATAAACAAACAAATAAAGAAATAAAGAAATAAAGAAATAAATAATGTGCAAGATTTGGGCATTTACTAAAATAACTTAATAAATAAATAAACAAACAAACAAACCAATAAATAAATGGGCATTTACTAAAATAACTAAATAAATAAATGAACGAACAAATTAATTACTTAATTACTTAATTACTTAATTACTTAATTACTTAATTACTTAATTAATTAATTAATTAATTAATTAATTAATTAATTAATTAATTAATTAATTAATTAATTAATTAATTAATTAATGTGCAAGATTTGGGCGTTTACTAAAATAAATAAATAAATAAATAAATAAATAAAGTGCAAGATTTGGGCATTTACTAAAATAAATAAATAAATAAATAAATAAATAAATAAATGAATGAATGAATGAATGAATGAATGAATGAATGAATGAATGAATGAATGAATGAATGAATATTAACATTTTAATGTAGAAAAAGCCAGTGTGGCTGTCTTAAAGAGCAAAACTATACAGCATATGGGCTCTTATATGCTGTTGTGTCATCACTCATATTGCAAGTTATATCTCTCCGGCCCTTCGTTTGGGATGCTTTTCATGAACCGGTCCCCATGACAAACTAATTGAATAGCCCTGGACTAGACCATTTTTGAATGCTGCTTTTGTACCAAATCATAATTACAATCACCTGCCGCATCACCTGTTTCAAATCACTTCCCTATTTGAACAATTTACCTCATTACAAGCCCTAAACTGCTCCTGTCTCAACTTTTTTTGGAATGAGTTGCAGGTCTGAATGACAGGAAATGATGTATATTTACAAATTAAAGGAAGTTGACCAGACAAAACATGAAATATTTTTGTCTGCATTGAAATACAAGTCAAAGTACATTTCGAAATCACTTCCTCTTCTTATTTGTGTTTTTCATACTGTCCCACCTTTGTCTCATTTGTGGTTGTATATAGTAGGGGAGGTATGCGATTTCAGACGCAGCCAATGTAATTACAACTCATTTTGTTTTGAACAGGTATCATGGCTGGATCCAACCGCTCTGGGGATTTGCGTGATGCCCAGAAGTCAATTCCCATCGGCACCATCCTGGCCATCACCACCACCTCCATCATCTGTATCTGCTCATACATAAACACACACACACAAACACGCATTCACTTAAACTTGTTTTTATATCCATGTGGGGACTCTCACAGATGTAACGATGTTTCTACTATACAAACTGTATATTATATCACCCTACAAAACCTTAACCCTCTCAGGAAACCATCTGCACTTTTACATGGTTTAAAATACTTAATTCTGTGTGGTTTATAAGCATGTTTACCCATGGGGACCACAATTGGTGACACCAGTCCCCATGAGTCTGTTTGCATTCAGGTTGAAGTTCCCATTGGGATATAAAAACAAGCACACACACATACTCACTCACTTACACATACACACATGCACATGCTCACACGCACTCACACATTCGCATATACACAAACACACACTCACCCATTTTCACATACACAAACACACGTTCACACATACAGAGCTCCACCTGGTGGACACTGACTGATATAACACGTACATTTAATGATCAGTGAAAGAAATGTTGAAAAGGATCCAGTTTCAGGTGGTTTCTAAACAGTCCAAGTTGCTGATGGTTAACTGCTGATGAATGTTCTTTAACTGAAGTGTTCAGACATGTCCAGTGTGGTGCTGTTCGGTGCTTGCATCGAGGGAACAGTCTTGAGGGACAAGTATGTTATTCACATTATTTACATCATTTAAAGCATTACTTGTAACATGTATATATGTGATTTAGTGCATAAAAAGATGCTCTTTAGGGCATATTGTTTTTTAATGTACTTTTTTTATGTTTTTGTGTTTTTAGGCCAATAAAGTGCATATATTTTACATCAAAAAAACAGTTAAAAGCTTTATTGTTGTGAAATATTATTGCAACTTAAATATAACTTATTAAATATAATATAATATAATATAATATAATATAATATAATATAATATAATATAATATAATATAATATAATATAATAAAGAATGTATTTAGTACTTAGAATTGCATGACCTGGTACAATCTCTGGCGGGCTTATTATTAACTTTTCATGAACTGAAACCTCATAACACATTCAAAATCTCTATACTGTTTTCTCATTACAGGTCTTTTTAGATCTGATTATTTTTTAAACATAAAATCATAGTGTATATGTTATTGTTACCATGTCTTTAAAATTTCACATAAACTACACCCCAAAACACTATGATAAATAAATAAATAAATAATGTGCAAGATTTGGACATTTACTAAAATAACTAACTAACTAAATAAATAAATAATACACAAGATTTGGGCATTTATTAAAATAACTAACTTACTAAATAAATAAATAAATAATGTGCAAGATTTGGACATTTACTAAAATAACTAACTAAATAACTAACTAACTAACTAACTAACTAACTAATGTGCAAGATTTGGGCATTTACTAAAATAAATAAATAATATACAAGATTTAAGCATTTACTAAATTAACTATCTAAGTAAATAAATAATGTGCAAGATTTGGGCATTTATTAAAACAACTAACTAACTAAATAAATAAATAATGTGCAAGATTTGGGCATTTATTAAAATAACTAACTAACTAAATAAATAAATAATGTGCAAGATTTGGACATTTACTGAAATAACTAACTAACTAACTTACTAACTAACTAAATAAATAAATAAATAAATAAATAAATAAATAAATAAATAAATAAATAAATAAATAAAATGCAAGACTTGGGCATTTACTAAAATAACTAACTAACTAACTAAATAAATAATGTGCAAGATTTGGGCATTTACTAAAATAAATAAATAATATACAAGATTTAAGCATTTACTAAATTAACTATCTAAGTAAATAAATAATGTGCAAGATTTGGGCATTTACTAAAATAACTAACTAACTAACTAACTAAATAAATAAATAAATAAATAAATAAATAATATGCAAGACTTGGACATTTACTAAAATAACTAACTAACTAACTAACTAACTAACTAACTAACTAACTAAGTAAATAAATAATGTGCAAGATTTGGACATTTACTGAAATAACTAACTAACTAACTAACTAACTAAATAAATAAATAAATAAATAAATAAATAAATAAATAAATAAATAAATAATATGCAAGACTTGGGCATTTACTAAAATAACTAACTAACTAAGTAAATAAATAATGCGCAAGATTTGGGCATTTACTAAAATAAATAAATAATATACAAGATTTAAGCATTTACTAAATTAACTATCTAAGTAAATAAATAATGTGCAAGATTTGGGCATTTACTAAAATAACTAACTAACTAACTAACTAACTAAATAAATAAATAAATAAATAAATAAATAAATAATATGCAAGACTTGGGCATTTACTAAAATAACTAACTAACTAACTAACTAACTAACTAACTAACTATCTAAGTAAATAAATAATGTGCAAGATTTGGGCATTTACTAAAATAACTAACTAACTAAATAAATAAATAAATAAATAAATAATACACAAGATTTGGGCATTTATTAAAATAACTTACTAACTAAATAAATAATGTGCAAGATTTGGGCATTTACTAAAATAACTAAATAACTAAATAAACAAATAAATAAATAAGTAATGTGCAAGATTTGGGCATTTACTAAAATAATTAAATAACTAAATAAATAAACAAACAAACAAAGCAATAAATAAATGGGCATTTACTAAAATAACTAAATAAATAAACAAACAAATAAATAAATAGTGCAAGATGTGGGCAGATGGATGGATGGATGGATTGATGGATGGATAGATAGATAGATAGATAGATAGACAGACAGATAGATAGATAGATAGATAGATAGATAGATAGATAGATAGATAGATAGATAGATAGATAGATAGATAGATAGATAGATAGATAGATAGATTGATAGATTGATAGATCGATAGATAGATTGATAGATTGATAGATCGATAGATCGATAGATAGATAGATAGATAATAGAATCTTTTTGTTTACTTAATAAAAGCTTTGCACATGTTTTGTCATTGCCAAGTATCTCCTCCTAATCAAAACTGATGAGCTGAACTACATTGATTCAGGTTTGGTGAGGCGGTGAGGGGTAATCTGGTGATCGGGACACTGGCGTGGCCTTCGCCCTGGGTCATCGTCATCGGCTCCTTCTTCTCCACCTGCGGCGCAGGGCTCCAGAGCCTAACAGGTGCTCCCCGGCTCATGCAGGCCATTGCTCGGGATGGGATTGTGCCATTCCTTAGGGTGAGTGTGTGCTCAGAACAGCCAATAATTGTGTGCGGCCGTTTACTTTGAGTCCTATCATACACCGGCTAGAGCAATGCAGCCACATGCTTGACGCAAGTGTTTTTTGCAAATTTCGGCCTGGCACAGGTCTCATTTGTATGTTTTGCACCACATTGTTTAAATAGCAAATGCACTTGAGCCTGTATGTGCGCCCATGGGCCTGCTGGTCTAAATAGGAGGTGTTGTAATGAACAGAGATAAAAATAGTGCCATTGACCGTCTAAAAGCTGCTTTAAAGTCAATAGCGTAAGGTTTTTTTTTTTTTTTTTTTTTAAACACGCATACACATTGCTCATTACACACACAGGGATGTACAGCGGTACAGAAATATCTAAATATTTAAATAAATTTAAAGCATTAAAATGTAAAATAATCATTATTGTCTACATAAAAAAATGCTACTCCCTCCCATGCCTTCTTCAACTCATGGGGTTTTGGTGAAATCTGGCTGTTTATTCATGACAATTTACACTGATTTAATTATATTATTATTATAAGCATATATATATAGTGCTGTTGCCTCACAGCAAGAAGGTCGCTGGTTCGAAACTCGGCTCAGTTGGTGTTTCTGTGTGGAGTTTGCATGTTCTCCCTGCCTTCGCGTGGGTTTCCTCCGGGTGCTCCGGTTTCCCCCACAGTCCAAAGACATGCGGTACAGGTGAATTGGGTAGATTAAATTGTTTGTAGTGTATGAGTGTGTGTGAATGTGTGTGTGGATGTTTCCCAGAGATGGGTTGCGGCTGGAAGGGCATCCGCTGTGTAAAAACTTGCTGGATAAGTTGGCGGTTCATTCCGATGTGGCGACCCCAAATTAATAAAGGGACTAAGCTGAAAAGAAAATGAATTAATATATATATATATGAAGTCAGAATTATTAGCCACCTTTTGATTTTTTTCTTCTTTTTTAAATATTTCCCAAATGATTTTTAACAGAGCAAGGAAATTTTCACAGTATGTCTGATAATATTTTTTCTTCTGGATGAAGTCTTATTTGTTTTATTTTGGCTAGAATAAAAGCGGTTATTAATTTAAAAAAAAACATTTTTGGGACAAAATTATTAGCCTCTTTAAGCTAATTTTGTTTTCGATAGTCTACAGAACAAACCATCATTATACAATAACTTGCCTAATTAGCCTAACCTGCCTAGTTAACGTAATTAACCTAGTTAAGCCTTTAAATGTCACTTTAAGCTGTATAGAAGTGTCTTGAAAAACATCTAGTCAAATATTATTTACAGTCATCAAGACAAATATAAAACAAATCAGTTATTAGAGATGAGTTTTTAAAACTGTGATTAGAAATGTGCTGAAACAATCTTCCCTCCATTAAACTGAAATTGGGGAAAAAAATAAACAGGGGGGCTAATAATTCAGGGGGACTAATAATTCTGACTTCAACTCTATATATGTATATATATATATATATATATATATATATATATATATATATATATATATATATATATATATATATATATATATTTTTTTTTTTTTTTTCTGCCTTTTTTTCTACCTTTTTCTATATTTGTCTACCTGTCGTGTTTTAGAGACATATGGGGCATCACTATAGGGGCACAGGTATAGAAAGTGTGTTCCTACTTTGTTGTTATTGTTCATTTATTAATATGCCGGAAATTAAAACTAAATTCAGAAAAGTTATTGAAACATTTCTTTGGGCTTAACAGACAAAATTATGAAATTAAACATGTAATTGATGTCTTCAGTGGAGTGCATCCACCACCATTTCCCAAATCCACAGTCGGAAGGAAGTGGCTCATTTCGCAGATGGTTTGAACCTCATAATGATGGTCTTTTACTGTCCTCTTATTGGTGTAATGCTTGTCATCCCCAAAACACACCTATAACTCATTAAAAGAATGAGGGCAACCCTTTTAGACCATGCATGCGCCTGGTGCACAGACTGATTTTCCATTATTAAAATAGCAAAAGTGGATTCGGTCACACCCTTAGTGCTTTTGCACCATCCGCTTCATTCATTCATATTTTTTTCATCTTAGTCCCTTTATTAATCAGGGGTTGCCACAGCAGAATGAACCGCCAACTTATCCAGCATATGTTTTACACAGCGGATGCCCTTCCAGCTGCAACCCATCACTGGGAAACACCCATACACTCTTACATTCACACACATACACTATGGCCAGTTTGGTTACCCAATTCACCTATAGCGTATGTGTTTGGACTTTGGGGGAAACCGGAGCACCTGGAAGAAACTCACACGAACACAGGGAGAACATGCAAACTCCACACAAAAAACACCAACTGACCTAGCCTAGGCTCGAACCAGCGACATTCTTGCTGTAAGGCGACAGATATACCTTGCGTCACCACGTTGACCCCCCATCGGCTTAAGAACCCCTTTTGTTCAGCTGGGTGTATGTTCACCTGTGTGTGTGTATGTTCACCTGTGTGTGTGTGTGTGTGTGTATGTGTGTGTGTGTGTTTACAGGTGTTTGGCCATGGAAAAGCCAACGGAGAGCCGACCTGGGCACTCCTGCTGACCGCATGTATCTGTGAGAGTGGGATTCTCATCGCTTCTCTGGATAACGTTGCTCCCATTCTCTCCATGTAAGAGGCCATACACACACTTTTTTATTTTGGTGGTTCCACTTTTTTTTTACTAGGTTATACCATGGGATTTACTAAAAAGTTAGCTGTTTATAAATTGGTATATAAAAAGCTAAATGTGACATGTATCCTTGTCTATCGGTTGTGTGTGTAGGTTTTTCCTCATGTGCTACATGTTTGTGAATCTGGCCTGTGCTGTTCAGACTCTCCTCAGAACACCAAACTGGAGACCTCGATTCAAGTTCTACCACTGGTGAGCTTCAGTCCAACACATCTGTTTTCTGCTCATGTTAATAATGGATTATATGGATTAATGGTTTTATGGTTGACATATAGGCACTAAAAAGGGAAAAAAACTTATGATATTTGAGAAAATAGGAGGAGTCACTAATGCCTAGTTCACACTAGAGGATTTTAAGCCTGATTTGAGCCCGATTTGGAAGTTAACGAGCTCGCCGACAGATCAGGCTGTAATCGGAAAGAAATCTGCGGGTGCACGGCGCTCGCCGCTCTTTATGTGTGAACTACTGAACAACGCATCAACGAGGCTCGCTGACGCGTCGCCGACACCTCGCAGACGGAAATCCAACATTCAGCATGCTGAATATTCCAGAGCAGTCGGCCGACTCAACCCCACGTCTGGTCAGATGTAGTAACGAGCTGCAGCCAATGAGAGAGCATATCAGCATGAGCTGAATGGCTGTGTGTTCAGGAGCTCAGCAGAAACATCTGTGATTGGTCAGAATGGGCATCGGTGCACTCGCTTCATTCTGCGTTAGCACAGACATGAGAGTAGACTATATTAACAGTGGAACTAGAATTCTGTAACTATTAGAATTACCATACTGCTCATTCTGACGGTTCTCATATAAAACGCCATACTGTCACAACATATTTACATTCAAAGCTATTATTGAGATATTAAAATTAAGCTTTGAATGTTTGGCATCATATTTAATGACACTATTACCCTAAAAATATAATATTTTTTGGTAATACAGCCTATAAATATGTAGTTAAGATACTAAAACACTTAAAGGTCTTGGCTTTCATTTTCACTTTCAAACAGGAGCTATTTAACAGCACAGAATATGCTGTTTTGAAAGATATCTGAAGTAAATTGATGTTTTTGCCATCAGAAAGTTTTGTTTATGTTAGCAGGAACTTGCCAGGCAAGAAAATGCACACACATTTAAAGTCACAGCGAAAAGTATCAGACATGCATGCAGTCATTTTGACTAATATGGTAATTTAAGGCAGAAATGCTCAGTTCTTTACTTTTTTGTAATAATAAAAAATAACAATGTCAGAAAGAAATACACTGATAGTTAGAAAACGGCAGGGTGTTATAAATATGTTAGTTTTATTTCAAAGAGTTATTAAATTACAACAATTAAAAACTCTCTGTGTATCTATCCACTCGAACCTTGCAGATGAGTGATTAATCCGCTGATAAATCAGCTGATTTGACGATGTTTTTAAATGCTTTCTCCAAAGCTTGAAACGCTGTCAGTGATGTCATCAGCACACAAGCAGCCAATAGTGTTCAGCTTTTTCTGACGACTCCTCCCTCAAATTTTCATTGGCTGTGGTTTGGTAGCTTGAATGAGCTGATGGGGAATGAGTTGTTGTCAGATCATGTAGTGTGTGACCCCCCTCTTGTGGATCGTTCACGGAGTGTTGCATAGTGTGAACACCACAGAGATTAAAAGACACAAAGTCAAGTCATGTAGTGTGAACAGCACAGCGATCTGCTGATGTTTAAAATCCTGTAGTGTGAACTAGGCTTAACTTGATCAATTCTTTCATTTTTTTTTTTTTTTTTGCATTTTACTGAACTATACCATAAATACGTCATAAATACATAAATACGATGTGATATAAACCACACAAATAATGTTTTATAACTCGTTAAAATGACCCCTTTTGAGCTGTGATTCTAATTGTGTCATTTTGTTGACTGTCACTTTAAATTCGAATGAGATTGGGCTCTTTTCAGAAGAGGGCGGAGCTACAAATGCCAATGTGTCAGCATAATGGCAGATTCGAAAACAAGACTAACGTCCTATGCTAGTGAGGGAGAGATGGTCACTAATGAACGGGGCTTTCCCCCTCTGATGACATGTACAAAGGGAGAATGTCAATCAAAGTGTTAATGTAGACTGTTTATCTCAAGTGTGATTATAAAAATAAAATTAAACATTTTTATCATTGGAGGCTGCTTATATTTACTGACTGTTGCCACACAACTTTGTTTAAACCCCTTATAAAAGTGATTTTTGTATAATAGGTGCCCTTTAATTATACACAAATAGTATGAGATGCTGTTTATTCATTCAATTTTTTTGTCGGCTTAATCCCTTTATTAATCCGGGGTCGCCACAGCGGAATGAACCGCCAACTTATCCAGCAAGTTTTTACGCAGCGGATTCCCTTCCAGCCGCAACCCATCTCTGGGAAACATTCACACACACACTCATACACTACGGACAATTTAGCCTACCCAATTCACCTGTACCCCATGTCTTTGGACTGTGGGGGAAACCGGAGCACCCGGAGGAAACCCATGCGAAGGCAGGGAGAACATGCAAACTCCACACAGAAACGTCAACTGTTCGAACCAGCAAACCAGCGACCCAGCGACATTCTTGCTGTGAGGCAACAGCACTACCTACTGCGCCACTGCCTCGCCCAGATTCTATTTAAATATTTCTAATTCTATTTATTGCATATGAAATTATGGATAATCATTTTTTTTCTCCATGACTTATGGACTTGGTGGATATTTTCAATAAATATGGGTGACAAGGGACAACAAAGCTTAATTTGATTGTTAAATTTATAGAAATTGTCATTAAATTTATTTAATTTTCATTTGCAAAGTTTATTGTTAATGTTGTAGTTAAATATGTACAAAATTCTAAGAGACAAAAACTATGCTAATGCACAGGCATTTGTAGCTCCGCCCTCTTTTTTTTACAGCACAATCTCTTTTAAATTTAAAGCGACAGTCACTAACACGGCCTGACATTAAAGCCTGAAAGGGTCAGTTTTAAAGGCTTATAAAACAGTATTTGTGTTTTTTTTTTTTTTTCAAAATATATTTATTTGCATTTGTTTTGAACACATAATACATTTAAATAAAAGAGAAAAAACACATATAAGAGAACCTTGCAGAACTTTAACCCCCCCCCCCCCCCCCCCCAAAATAAATAATAATTAATAAAAAAAATAATAATAAATGAATAAAAAAAAAATAAAAAAATAAACAACTCTCACTAGTTTCCGTACACCAGCATTCACAGCCATCCAATTTACAGTTTAACCTTTTACCTTCACTGCGTATTTAGTAATTTTAGGAGATCACATTATGTAATGGAGATACCCAATACGAAGAAGAAGTGAATGTTGAGTATTAGTCGTCCATCCCTGTCAAGTCCTCTTGGTTACAATAGCATAAAAATGGAGTCCAAATATTGTAAAAGTCCTTAAGTTTCCCTTTAACTGCATAAGTCAGTTTTTCCATGGCGAGGTTGTTAGTCATTTCTTTAATCCAGAGTATTGAGGAAGGACCTTGCATCTCCTTCCATTTTAAAGCAATAGCCCGTTTGGCCTGAAGCAAACTAAAGTCAATTAGTTTGCGTTTACTAGCGCTCACCACAAAATTTACTGGATATATATGAAATAGACAGAGTTTGGGATCACAAGGTACATTTTCTTCAGTCAGTTTACCAATCATAACCAGAATACTCTTCCAAAATGTTTGAATCTCAGTACACTCCCACATACAATGATAAAGGGTTCCAATATCTTGTTTACATTTTAAACAGCTGTCAGGAATATTTGGGTTGAACTTATGTAATTTAACCGGGGTAATGTATGTCCGCATGAGCCATTTATATTGAAGCAATCTGCATCTAGTATTTACACTATATGTTTGCGCAAACAAACAATAATCCATCCATTCATCTTTAGAAATATCTTCCTGAAGGTCATTTCTCCATGCGGCTAAATAGGACATTGAACTTTCTTTTGAACCCTCTAAAAGTGTCAGTATTTGTGTATTATTTTGAGCTGAAACTTCACACACATACACACTCTAGGGCAGGGGCGTCCAAACTCGGTCCTGAAGGGCAGGTATCCTGGAGAGTTTAGCTCCAACCCTAATCAAACACACCTGAAGCAGCTAATCAAGCTTTTAGTAAATATATTAGAAACTTCCTGGCAGGTGTGTTGAAGCAAGTTGGAGCTAAACTATGCAGGACACCGGCCCTCCAGGAACGAGTTTGGACACCTCTGCTCTAGGGACATCAGAGACTTATTTTACATCTTGTAATATAAAGTAATAGGTTAATAGGGGCATAATAGGTCCCCTTTAAATGATGATGGTACTAATTATATTCATTTTTGTCATGTGTGTCTTTCTCTTGTCCTCCAGGACTCTGTCTTTTCTAGGCATGAGTCTGTGTCTCTCGCTCATGTTCATCTGCTCCTGGTACTACGCCATTGTTGCAATGGGCATCGCCGGCTGCATCTACAAGTATATCGAGTTTCGAGGGTAAGTGGATTGTGACCCAGAGTCGAGGGAAAGATGGAAAAACCCCACAAGATGGATTAGAATTAAGTGTTAGCCGTTTGACCTGTCAGGGTTTTCAGATCCCTCCTAATCCGGCTGGTCAAGAAACAGCTGAAATCTGCTCCAGGATTTGATTAGTTTACTGCCTTTCCTTTTGAAGCTTTACTGGAGTGAAGCCGAGCACTGACCCGAGTCTGGCGCCGGAAATGAAAGACTGAAAACTGGAGACAGATTATAGAGTCTGAGGCTGTGCTCAAATACACTGTATACTTGAGAAATACTGAAGAAGATGCATGTGCTTGGTTTATTCTGTATTGCACGGCATGCTGAAGCGAATATACATTCATTCATTCATTCATTTTCCTTCGGCTTAGTCTCTGATTTATCTGGGGTCGCCACAGCGGAATGAACCACCAACTATTTCAGCATTGGTTTTACGCAGCGGATGCCCTTCCAGCTGCAACCTAGTACTGGGAAACACCCATACACTCTTACATTCACACACATACTCATACACTGAGGCCGATTTAGCTTATCCAATTCACCTATAGCGCATGTGTTTGGACTGTGGGGTAAACCCACGCCTAAACAGGGAGAACATGCCAACTCTACACAGAAATGCCCAGCTGGGACTCGAACCAGCGACCTTCTTGCTGTGAGGCTACAGTGCTAACCATTGAGCCACCGTGCCACCCCTTTTTTATATTACTACTTCAACTGTATTTACAAAATTCTCCAGATATAGTTAAACTAACGTGTTAGTATGTATTTTCTGAACATAAATCGAGTGTTTGTTTACATTATAAAAATGCAGATTGTCTCCTATATAGACAATATATACAGTCTGTACAGTATCAAAATCATTACGTCTATGGGAAGTCCCCTTAAAGATAGCTGTACAAGTTTGTGTGTTTGTTTTTAAGTTCTCTCAAAAGTAACATTATTCACAAAAGTAACACATGAAAAACTAATGTGTGTGCGCGCATGTGTGTGTGACAGAGCGGAGAAGGAATGGGGTGATGGGATTCGAGGTTTGTCTCTCAGTGCTGCTCGCTTTGCTCTTATGAGGTTGGAGGAGGGTCCACCACACACCAAAAACTGGAGGTCAGTGTCATTATTATTACTACATGTGTTATATTGTAATAGTATTATTTACATAATATATTTATATATTAATATTTACTTTAACACATGTATATCTGCACATGTATAAAAGATAATAAATAATCAATCAATATTTAATATTACATAAAATAAATGTAAAAAAAATGTATTATATATATATAATACAATACCAAGGTTTTGAATAATTTTGTTTATTATAGTTTGTCAACACACCCAAAAAAATGCTGATTTCAGGACTTTAGGGTGAAAAATGATTAAAATGCATTTTTTTCTTTTTTCTTAAAAAATAAAAAAAAATCTAAAATAAACATATATAAATATACAATTATTTGAGTGTTAATAGTAATAATTAACATGAAGATTATTAATTGTAATTACAAAAAATAAAAATTAAATAACTGAAATTAAAATAATTATTAATGTAATTTTATAAATAATAATAATTTAATACTCATTTTTTATTTAATTACAATATTTATTTCATTAATATATATATATATATATATATATATATATATATATATATATATATATATATATATATATATATATATATAAACACAGTTAAAGTTTAATAAATACTATTATTATTATTATTATTATTATTATTATTATATTATAATAATAGAAATAAAATCATGGAAAAAAAATTCATGGTAATTTAATACTTTGTTTTTTTATATTATTTTAATATATATATATATATATATATATATATATATATATATATATATATATATATATATATATGTATATATATATAGTATAATAGTATACCAAGGTTTTCCTTTTTTATTATTAAAACTAAATATGGTACAACAACACTATTTTGCTATTATTATTGTATTTATTTAAATAATTTTTCAGCAGATTTGTTTTTTTAAGTCTGAAAATTCTGAATGTTTGTATTTAAAAAGATCTTCTGTTGTCCTTAGACCTCAGATTTTGGTTCTGGTGAACATGGACGGGGAGCTGAAGGTGGATCAGCCCCGAATGCTGTCTCTGACCAGTCAGCTGAAGGCTGGCAAGGGTCTGACCATCGTGGGCACAGCGCTTGAGGGAACATACCTGGAGAACCATGATCAGGGACAGCAGGCCGAACAGGTGACCTTCTCTCATACACAAAGACTATAACCAAAGGCCAACAAAAACAGCCCCAACATAACAAAAGGGTCATCAATGTAAACAATACACAAGGGTTAAACATCACTTGGCAAATATTTGAAAATAAAACAATAATAGGCTTTGATTTGATCCGAATCCGTTTCTTCTTGTGTGGTGTGTCAGTCTCTGAGGAAGCTGATGGAGACGGAGAAGGTGAAGGGCTTCAGTCAGGTTGTGATCTCCTCCAACATGAGAGATGCCATGTCTCATCTGGTCCAGGCTTCGGGTCTTGGTGGTCTTCAACACAACACTGTTCTGGCCAGCTGGCCTCGCAACTGGAAACAAGCTGAAGATCATCAGAGCTGGAGAAACTTCATTGGTGAGACATACAAACCTTATGCTTATCTCTCGCTCACACATCACCTTTTGTAGGACACTACAGTATATCAGGTTAGCTACGTTTATAAAAATTAAGTAATACTTAGCCCAAGGGTGTCCAAACTCGGTCTTGGAGGGCCGGTGTCATGCTGAATTTAGCTCCAAATTGCTTCAACACACCTACCAGAAAGTTTGTGGCTGCGTCCGAAACCGCCTACTACTCAGTAGGTACTGCATTTGAATTTAAACGTACTACTCGGCCATTAGAAAAGTACGTTCTATACAGTATGAATTTAATTCGGACGTACTACATCCGCCATTTTTGTCATGGTCACATGACCTATCTGCGTCAGTTGCGTCGCCGCACTTCCATTCATGAATTCTCTCATGGGGTATTATGGGATAGCGCAGCGTGCATGGGATGCGCACTTCAGAATCTCGCCGGAAGTAGTAAGTCATCCGGGTACTTCTCGCCTACTGATTTTCGAATTCTATGAATTCGCACATACTACTCGGCTCACATACTGATTTTAGCGTACTATATAGTATGGAAGTATGCGGTTTCGGACGCAGCCGTTTGTGTAACTTGTAAGAGCCTGATTAGCTGCTTCAGGTGTGTTTGATTAGAGTTGGAGCTAAACTCTCCAGGACTGAGTTTGGATACCCCTGGCTTAACCGATGTGTTGTTCACTGTTAGTTCATGTTAACTAATGCATTACATTAACTAATACAACCTTACCGTATGATCTTTCTCTGGTTTTGTGACATTTCTGTTGCGTCCCAAATGGCACACTATACACTATGCACTATGTACTTATGCACTTACACACTCAACAGCATAGTATATGTATGTAGTGGTGCCCCAAATGGCACACTAATGGGCTGTTTCTCAATATGCGTTCGTCAGCGGTCTTGCGTCCTCGTGTTCTCGTGAAACGTCATCATCAGCTGCCTAAGTTCAGTTCCAATACTCAAGACCGCAAGTACAGAGGACGCATGAAACTTCCCGGATGTGTTCTTGATATCGAGGACGCACTGATGCAGACTTGAGCACCGAACTCGCTCTGGAAGTCCCAGAAGTCATTGCGACTGGAGGTGGGAAGCGCTGCGTTTTATCTAGATTACTTATTAAAGTTCATAGATATGAATTATTTACCTCAGGACTTTCCCTAAATGAAGCGATGAAAGTAAACATTACCATGGACATCTTAATAAAGCAATAAACACATTAAGGGTGTTTGTTTGCTGAAATTCGTATTAAAATCTGTTTTATTTATATTGTGCAACATATATTTAAAATGTTTTTATGCAAAGTATGTATTTTGAAAAGGGGAAAAACAATAAATCGTTGTATGAAGGCTGTAATGTTTAAATAATTTACCATTTAAAACGCGTGAAGGTCACATGACCATCAGGAATAACACAGCATCTCCATTCTCAAAGGACGCGTTCTCTGTCCTCGTGGTCTCCTGAGTTCGTTCTTCCGAGGACACCTGGCAAGACCGGTCTCCACAAGAAGTTCAAAGTCCGTTCTATGTGTTCTTGGAATTGAGAAACAGCCCATGGTTTTTTACTAATCGGAAATTCAAACCGTTTCCCTGATGATGTTTGACGGTTGCCAAATCAGTGAAATAAATGACCGAATTATCAAATAATACCTGCCGTGAGTATAACCGCATTCACCATCGGGAGGCGCTATAATCACTCTCGTAGGAGAATTTTGCTTTCACCATCCAAAATAAATAAAGTTATTCAACATGTGCGGCCGATAGCTCCGCCCCTTCCGCTACATAAGCAAACCTGCAGTCGTTGAGTGCGTGAAGTGTCCATCATTACACACTTCATTTTAGCGGCTGAATGAGTGCATCATCCGGGTAATTAAAGTGCACTTATTATTTTTTTAGTTTTCAGTGTGAACACACTACTTACACTGTTTATAATACCAAATACCGTAGAATAGTGCATAAGTATGCGATTTGGGACTCAGCTTTTGTCTGTTTTATTAGTGTGTGAAGCAGAAACAAACTGACAGCTGTGTTAACTTTATTACATTGTGTGAGTACGTGTGTGTGTGTGTGTGTGTGTGTGTGTGTGTGTGTGTGTGTGTGTGTGTGTGTGTGTGTGTGTGTGTGTGTGTGTGTGTGTGTGTGTGTGTGTGTGTGTGTGTGTGTGTGTGTGTGGTGTGTGATCAGCTAATCTAAACTCCGGCAGACTGAGCAGGTGCTGGTGAACGTCTGACACCACAGATGTTCACTTCTGTATTTTAAGAAGAAGAATTGAGTGACGTTTTAATCCTGTCGGATTGGAATGTAGCCCAAAATAGTGTCAGAAATATTGCTGCTGAACACAAATGCTTGAAGAGATGCGTCATTATCAGCTGATTCACTTATTATAGTGTTTCAGAAAAATACAAAAGAAAATGGTTAAACCAGAATTAACTATTATATTTGTAAGGTTTTAATATTCACATGGTATGTAGTTACATTTTTATATTAGTTTCAAATGTTGCTGTTTTGACCAATTTTATTACATTTATACTCGGATCAAATTCCATATACGAATATTTAGTCATTTTTATGCAAATAAATTATAATATACAAATTTTTTATTTTATTAACGTAAACCTCCACCCCAACCCTAAACCCAACCGTCACAGTAATGTAAAAACAGTTGTTGTACCAAGTATTAGTTATGTTATCTATTAAATAACCCAATAAAATGTATTTTTGAACGCCCATGAATGGAATGGAGCCCAAAATAGTGTCAGAAATATTGCTGCCGAACACAAATGCTTGAAGAGATGCGTCATTATCAGCTGATTCACTTATTATAGTTTCAGTAAATCTCACAGTAATGTTATATGTAATAATAGACTGTGTTTCAGAAAAATACAAAAGAAAATGGTTAAACCAGAATTAACAATTATATTTGTAAGGTTTTAATATTCACATGGTATGTAGTTACATTTTTATATTAGTTTCAAATGTTGCTGTTTTGACCAATTTTATTACATTTATACTTGGATCAAATTCCATATACGAATATTTAGTCATTTTTATGCAAATAAATTATAATATACTAAATATATTGTGATTATACACAATAAAAATGTGTAAAATTATACAATTTTATGCAAATCTGAATTGTATTTAGGTGCAGTTATGTTTACTTTAAAATATACATATAAAATATACAAGTTAATTAGTATCTGTATAATATTTCATTACTATATTAATATAAATGTATATTTATATTTAATATTAAAGGTATTTAAATTCATTCATTTATTTCCCCTTTGGCTTAGCCCCTTTATTCACCAGGAGTCCCCAGAGTGGAATGAACCGCTGACTTATCCAGCATATGTTTTATACAGCGGATGCCTTTTCAGCCACAACCCAGTACTGGGAAATACCCATACACACTCATACACACTCATTAACTACGGCCAATTTATTTAATCAATTCACCTATAGCTCATGTGTTTGGACTGTGGGGGAAACTGGAGCACCTGGAGGAAATCCACACCATCACGGGGAGAACATGTAATGTAATGTGTATTTATATAGCGCATTTATTGTGTATGGCCATACACACATCACGCATGACAATTATGAGGGGGGTCTCTTCACACCACCACCTGTGCAGCATCCACTTGGGTGATAGCCACAGGACAACAGTGCCAGTGCGCTCACCACACACCAGCTATTGGTGGAGTGGAGAGACAGTGATAGAGCCAATTCAGTAGATAGGGATGATTTGGAGGCCATGATTGTAAGGGCCGATTAAGGGACTTTGGCCAGGACACCGGGGTTACACCCCTGCTCTTTCACGAGAAGTGCCATGGGATTTTTAATGACCACAGAGAGTCAGAACATGCAAACTCCACACAGAAATGGCAACTAACCCAGCCACCAGCGATCTTCTTGCTGTGAGGCGACAATGCTAACCACCGTTAGCCACCGTGTTCCCCCATCATACCTTTCAGTTATCCTTAAAATATACATGTATTTATAAATGCAAGTAATAAAGTTTCTATATTATTTTATTATTATTATTATTATGAACAATAATATATTGATGTATGTTTATGTTAATAAATATTTAAATAGGTGACGCAGTGATGCAGTAGGTAGTGCTGTTGCCTCACAGTAAGAAGGTTGCTGGTTCAAGCCTTGGCTGAGTCAGTTGGCATTTCTTTGTGGAATTTGCATGTTGCGTTCGCGTGGGTTTCCTCCGGGTGCTCCGGTTTCCTCCACAGTCCAAAGACATGCGGTACAGGTGAATTGGATAGGCTAAATCAGGGGTCGGCAACCCAAAATGTTGAAAGAGCCATATTGGACCAAAAAAAACAAAAAACAAATATGTCTGGAGCCGCAAAAAAATGTAAAGCCTTATATAAGCCTATAATGAAGGAAACACATGCTGTATGTATCTATATTAGCTATATTAGCCTATTAGCCTATAAAAATGACTAAGTTGGCTACAAATACATAATGAGCCTTCATGATTAAATAGCCATTGAAATCAGGTGATTGGTGTTTATTTCGTTGTCATTTAAACACTTCAGCACAGCCTCTGGTCTTTCAGTGGTATTAATTTGATCATTTCTTCTTGCGGCCCATCAGAGTTCACATACCTGCATAAAAGCGGGTTGAATATCACCCACATTACAGGCAATTGAGTATGCTGGCACTGAATTAATGTCCTTGGTTTGCTGATCGGTGATGTTACTGCCATTTTAATAGCCCTTTCCTTCACTGTTTAGCGGAGAGAGGTATATCTTTAATTTTTTGTATTATCTTGGTTTTGTTTTTGAAGTCTGCAAATAGGTGTTCTAATATGATGATGAGACTCCTTCATGTAGTCACCATCTGTGAACGGTTTTCCATGCTTTATTATCTCCCGGTTTGTTTACAACAGCCACCTGCCTGGCATCCCGCCCTGCTGATAGAAACGTGTCGCAGGCTATGACGCAAATCTTCGTTGACAGAAATGTTGAAATTAAATATTAATTCCACACACTTTTACAGCATTTAAAAACGTTAAAAAATTTTGTCCTACTAAAGAAATCATATTAAAACAAAAAATATATTAACCTCCCCCATCTTTTTCCATTTTCAAACATTTTTGAAAAAGCTCCAGGGAGCCACAAGGGCGGCGCAAAATAGCCGCATGCGGCTCTAGAGCCACGGGTTGCTGACCCCTGGGCTAAATTGTCCGTAGTGTATGAGTGTGAATGAGTGTGTGTGGAGGTTTCCCAGAGATGGGTTGCGGCTGAAAGGGCATTCGCTGCATAAAAACTTGCTGGATAAGTTGGCGGTTCATTCCGCTGTGGCGACCCATTGGATTAATAAAGGGACTTAGCTGAAAAGAATATGAATGAATGAATATTTAAATATATTTGCATAAAATTTCATAGAATGAATTTCATTCTATTTTTAGTCAATATAAAAATACAAAGTAACACTGTTTATTTTTAATAAATTTCTACATCTCTAAACATTATTGTGCATAGTTTTTTATCTTTTTTTATTTTTAAAAAAATTTAATCAGTGGTGAAAAATTTGTCAAATTTAGCAAAGTTCGTCATAGAATAAAATAAATACATAAAATCAAATATAAATCAACTAATTAAAATGTCAAAATTTTATTAAATACATCTAAAATGACATATTTCATTAAAACATAATATAATTAATCCTTATGTTTATTTATAATTTATTTTTATTTGCATTCGGACACGAAAGCTGTGATTGTGCATGTTAAATAAATCACAAGTCACAAATAGCTTCACGGCATGAAAGATTTAAAAACCAAAGTCTCAAATCAAAAAGTGTACATTTGTACTTAAATAAAATCTGTAAAAACATGTCTTAATTACAGAGCTGGTGAGAGAAACCACGGCTGGCAGTAAAGCTCTGCTGGTGCCCAAAAACATCTCGGCCTTCCCTTCGAATGGAGAGCGCTTCACTGAGGGTCACATTGACGTCTGGTGGATCGTCCATGATGGAGGGATGCTGATGCTGCTGCCCTTCCTCCTCCGCCAGCATAAGGTGATCCTAAAAATGTCAATATTGTGCTGTTTAAAATGTGCCATATACTTCATTGATTCAATAAGCTGAATACCTGAAAACCCTAATATGAGCACTGTAAAAAAACTGCTGTAAAATTTACAATATTACTGGCAATTTTGGTTTGCCAGTAATACTGTAAAATTTACAAATGCACTGTAAATTAATAATTGCACTCGTGCTGTAAAACTACAGTAATACTGTAAAGTTTACAGCACCTTTTTACTGTATACTTCAGCTGTTTTTTACCATCATGGCTGTAATGTCCAGCTGATGTTGACCTCTGTGTCTGTCCGTGTGTGTGTGTGTGTGTGTGTGTGCGTGTGTGTGTGTGTGTGTGTGCGTGCGTGTGCGCGTGTGCGTGTGTGTGTGTGTGTGTGTGTGTGTGTGTGTGTGTGTGTGTGTGTGTGTGTGTGTGTGTGTGTATGCAGGTTTGGAGGAAGTGTAAGATGCGCATCTTCACTGTGGCTCAGATGGACGACAACAGCATCCAGATGAAGAAAGATCTGACCACCTTCCTGTATCACCTGCGCATAGACGCCGCCGTCGAAGTGGTGGAGATGGTAATTCATGACACTGTTTACCTGATTACAAAATACCTCTTGCTCTGATTAGTCTTTAATCTTTTATTTTTAAGAAGTTCTCAGTTTATTCTTGCTTAGTAGTGGAAAATTAGCCATTATATATATAGTAAAGCTCAAACATATTCAAAGCATTGACCAATTCTGACTTAAAAATACTTTTATTCAACCAGCAAGTTTTTTGTGGGGGGTTTTGACTGGAAAAATGACACTGATAATAAGATGATGTACAAGAGGCATCATTGTGGAAAAAAGATACGTAACTTTAAATCAGAATTTGTCATGGTATGAATCATTTTAGGCTTGACTGTATGTATTTACGGTTGTTATATAGAAATCAAGTGTACTAAATGTATATATTAATGTAAATTAAAAGTATTAAATGACATTAAATTATTAGTATTTCACGTTTAAAAATATATATAGAAAAATAAATACAATTATTAGTATTAATAGCATTATTAGTAATTATTAGTCTTATTATATTTTGATCCATATAATAAATTGTTTTGTTAAATATGATTACATTTCAATAGTCTCTCTCTCTCTGTATTTTTACGAGCTGTTTATAGTTTATAAAAAAATAATTAATAAAACCAAAACTTTTTAGGTAAGTAGAAAGTTAAGAACTTGATAAAACATGCTAACGGTGTGCTTAAATAGGCAAATAAATGAAAAGCATAATGTGATGCTAACGTTAAAAATGATAACTTGTTAAAAACGTTTTGAAACATGCTAACAATCTGCTAAAATATTTTAAAATCGTCCTAAAACGTGCTGGGTAAGTATTATTAGCAACATGCTAAAACATGTAGACAGCTTGCTAACATTTGCTATCGGTATGCCAAAAACATCACAATCTTGTTAAAACTTCTGGTTATCAAAACATGCTAACAAACTGTTTATAAATAAGATGCATAATAGCATTTAGGCTGAATGCTGATAACTTTTTTAAAATTACTAACAAACAATTCAAAGTTGTAGTAACTTTTCTAATGCATGTAAGCATGCTAGCAACATGTTTAAACATGCTAGAACCCTTAAAATAAATGTGATAAAGTTGATAAAACATGCTAATGATGTGCTTTAATAGTCAACAAATAAAAACATGTAAAAACGATGTTAACATGTTAAAATGCTAACTTGTTAGAAAATCTTTGAAACATGCTAACAATGTGCTTAAAATTTTACACTTGTGCTCAATGGGCTGTATATCGGCACTGGTGGAAGGCGTGCATTGACCTTAGTGTCCCACCATTGACGATATACAGATATTTTGCACTGCTACCAGTGTGATATTGCGTTTATACAACAGTTCGACTGCACAATCGTGTATATCAAACACGGAGAGCCATCGCTACTTCACCAACATCACTTTAGAGCTAGTATTTGAATGATTCTCTAGCTTAATGTCTAAAGTAAAGACTAAACAGGTGATTTTGCTCCAAATTTTAAGATTATAAGGCTGAACAACCTGAAATGCCATCAGTCTACAGAGATTTCCCAGTGTTTCTCTGTTGCAATCAGGAGACTATAATAGTTAACCCTGAAAAAACCAAAGCAAAGTAAACACTGCCAGATTACTATGGTATGAATGCAGCAATAAAACATACAAAAGAGAGAGATCGACTTAGAATGTCACTCACCTGTTTAATTATGATTTGATCAGCTGAAGTTTGAAATTAGGCTTATTAAAGGGCTTATTATGTGGCCTCTATCGCCATCTTGTGGATGAACAACATCAATGATCTTTGCTGTGCTCAGTATGACAGGCTGATGGATGCTGAAACGCTGTATCTAAGACTTCAAATATTCAAAATAGGCAATATCCTTATAAATAAACTGCATAGTTGCAGTCTAAACAACTACAATCTCACCTAAAATAGCCTCAAAAGTACATTATTTTGTCCAACAGCTGCAATATTTGTCGAACAGTAGTGAGTTCATTGATCTGCTGTCAGCTTCCTATCAGATCGAGAACCAAAATGCTGTATAAAGTTTAATATGTTATACATTTGCCATCATTAATCAAATACATTAATTTTAAGTGTCTAGCAACAATTAAATCATGCTTTGTGTGTATTAAATTATTAGGAAATTATTTGGTTACACTTTATTTTAAGCTGATGCAGTTACAGTGTGACTACCAAGTAATATTAATTAAGTACATGTACTTATTATATGATTGGGGTTAGAAATTGTGTTAGAGTTAGTTGCATGTAGTTTAGCATAATTCATTGTATTTACTACAGTAAGTGCATGGAACATGTAAAATACATCACCTTAAATTAAAGGGTCACCAAATATTTGAGGCTATAAATATTACTGTTGACAGCAGACAATGACAGGTGTTAAATATATATGTGGAGTATTCCTTCATGATTTTCAATGTTTTCACTCTGCTTCTCTACAGTTGTGTGTGTAACTCTGAGTACTACTGTAAACTGTTGTTTGTATGTGTGTGTTCAGCATGACAGTGATATCTCAGCATACACATATGAGAAAACCCTGATGATGGAGCAGCGCTCTCAGATCCTCAAGCAGATCAACCTCACCAAGACTGAGCGGGAACGAGAGGTACAACACCATCATCTACAAAACTATCACACGTATCAACTGTTACACATAACTTAGGCAAAGAAGCAACATGGGCTCATTGGGAAAATGTGCCCGGGTGTACATATTTGAGAACTGACAAATATGTGCTCACGGGTACATATGGCTGCATTTTATGTGTAAAACGAACGCTAAGCGACAATACCGCTGACGGATGAGCTTAGTATGGACGGCTTTTTTGGGGGTGACTGGTTTGATTGGTCGCAGACAATGTGATTCTGTTGGCTTTATCGAATATGGACCTTGAGCATGCACTGGGGCGGATTGCTGCCGAGTGTGACGCGGCTGGGATGAGAATTAGCACCTTCAAGTCCAAGGTCATGGTGCTCCACTGGAAAAAGGTGGTTTGCCATCTCTAGGTTGGAGGAAAGTCCTTTCCCCAGGTGAAGGAGTTCAAGTATCCTGGGGTTTTGATCACGAGTGAGGGAAGGATGGAACGTGAGATTTACAGATGGATTGGTGCAGCGGCAGCAGTTATGCGGTTGATGTACCTGTCCGTTGAGGTAAAGATGGAGCTGAGCCGAAAGGCAAAGCTTTTGATTTACTGGTCAACCTACGTTTCTACTCTCACCTATGGTCATGAGTTTTGGGTCATGACTGAAAGGACAAGATCTCAGATACAAGCAGCCGAAATGAATTTGCTTCGCAGAGAGGAAGGGCGCACCCTTATAGATAGGGTGAGGAGCTCTGACACGCGAGAGGAGCTCAGAGTAGAGCCGCTGCTCCTCCACATTGAGAGAAGTCAGCTGAGGTGGCTCGGGCATCTGTTTCGGATGCCTCCTGGACGCCTACCTAGGGAGGTGTTCCAGGCATGTCACATTGGGAGGAGGCCTCAGGGAAGACCCAGGACTATGGGCCTACTCACACTATGCCATCCGTACCGTGCCCAGGCCCGTTTCCCGGATCGTTTGAGAAGTGTGAGTGCGCTGAATCGGGCTCAAGCACGGTTCACTTGGCCGGCCCTGGCCCGGTTGGAAGAGGTGTGCCTGAGCGCGGTACACTTGGGCTTTGGCGCGGTACGCTTGTGTGTGAGCGCGAAACGCGCCAAAGCCCGAAACCGAAAGCGAGACGTGACTTTTAAGGGACTTTTTGATATGGATTTATTAATCATTCTTACTGTTCAGTGATCGCAAACTGCCGTAGTTTATTAAAGACGAGAACTCCTCACAGCACGCCAGCTGCGCGCCTTCAGCAGATCTCCTCATTCCTGCAGCACGAGAGCATTATGATTGTTTATGAGCGCCAAAAGTGGCGGATCTGTTCGGTAAAATATCTGACTGTGTGTCCCCGCATCCCTAAGGACTGTTTGGCGAAATATTTGACTGCATGTCACTGCATAACAAACGACTGAAAGGATATAACTAGAGAAATCTTCACTGTGCTGCTAAATGAGAGCGTATGGCAAGCCGTTTTAACATTTAAACCTTGTTCTGACTATCCATAAATATATTTAGAGATATAATTATATATTTTGACAAGTCATTATTATAATTCGACTTGTCAGAATGACAATTAGAGATATCTGCAATTACAATTGTACTAGTACGAAATCAGATTGGAGATATCTGCAAATATATTATGACTAGTCATATTCCTCCATTGACTTCCATTGAAAAATATTTGCAGATATCTCTAAATGAGTTTTGACTCGTCAAAAATCCAATTCAAGATATCTACAACTGTAATTCGACTATTAGTAAATTAATTAGAGATATCTTCAAATATATTTGTAAATATCTCTAAATATTACGAATTAAAGACATCTCCAAATGTATGACTAGTAAAAACTCAGTTAGAGATATCTCTAATTACAATTGTGCCGAGTCAAAACTCATTTAGATATCTGCAAATATTTTTCAATGGAAGTCAATGGAGGAATATGACTAGTCATAATATATTTGCAGATATCTCCAATCTGATTTCGTACTAGTACATTTGCAATTGTAGATATCTCTAATTGTTATTCTGACTAGTCGAATTATAATTATGACTAGTCAAAATATAATTAGAGATATCTCTAAATATATTTATGGAGTCAGAACAAAGATTTAAATGCTAAAAAGGCTTGCCATAGAGAGCGCTTCTGAACAGCGCAGCAGCGATGACGTAAGCGTGCCGTGGCCCGGTATGGTGTGAGCGCGGGCCGTCGGGGGAGACGGGAGGGGGGACAAGCGTGCTTTGGCCCGGTTCGAGGCAACTGTACCTAGTGTGAGTACGGCCTATGTCTCGCGGCTGGCCTGGGAATGCCTCGGGATCCCCCTGGAGGAGCTGGAGGAAGTGTCTGCGGAGAGGGAAGGCTGGGGTTCTCTCCAAAGACTGCTACCCCCGCAAAAAAAAAAAAAGCAGTAGAAAATGAATGAATGAATGAAGGAAGAAAGGAAGGAAGGAAGGAAGGAATGAGGGAAGGAAGGAAGGAAGGAAGGAAAAAAGGAATGAAGGAAGGAAGGAAGGAAGGAAGGAAGGAAGGAAGGAAGGAAGGAAGGAAGGAAGGAAGGATAGTTTTAGAAACCAGGAAAAAATGAAACCCAAAAAAGCAGCGGGAGGTAGCTTTTCTAGTAGTTTTCAGAAGTCATGTCTTTAGATTGAGTACTGAAGAGTTCAATAAGAAAAAAACTTGATTGACTAGAAATTATTTACAAGTAATCCAAATAATCAGCAAACAATCTTGAAAGTGAATAAAAAAATGTTTGATGTTGTTTTTTGTTTTGTTTTTTTGCAGCCCTTGTAATGTGTATGTGTGAGATACAAATGTACAATGTTTATTTTGCTAGCACACATTGTTATTCTTTGAGTTAAGAGTTAATATACAGAAAAAAAAGTGTGTTTTGCATTTACATTTAGTCATTTAGCAGATGCTTTTATCCAAAGCGACTTACAAATGAGGACAAGAAAGCAATTTACACAACTATAAGAGCAACAATGAATAAGTGCTGTAGGCAAGTTTCAGGTATGTAAAGTGTAAAAAGCAAAACATTAGTATATATATATTTTTTTGTATAGTTAGATGTGGAGCCAGAAAGGCAATTGCAGATTAGGAAGGGAGGTGGAGACTAAATAGTTGAGTTTTTAGTCGTTTCTTAAAGACAGCGAGTGACTCTGCCGTTCTGATGCAGTTAGGGAGTTCATTCCACCAACTAGGCAGATTGAATGCGAGAGTTCGGGAAAGCGTTTTCTTCCCTCTTTGGGATAGAACCACGAGGCAACGTTCATTCACAGAACGCAAGTTTCTGGAGGGCACATAAATCTGCAGAAGTGAGAGCAGATAAGAAGGAGCAAAGCCAGAAGTCGCTTTGTAAGCAAACAACAGAGCTTTGAATTTGATGCAAGCAGCAACTGGCAGCCAGTGCAAACGGATGAGCAACGGAGTGACATGTGCTCTTTTAGGTTCATTAAAGACCACTCGTGCTGCTGCGTGCTGCTGCGTTCTGAAGCATCTGAAGTTTTGGTAATCTTCAATCAAAGCTTTTAACTACGCCCCTCTGTTAGTTTGCTATGAGGGAATGATGTGCAAAAAGAAAACCCTGCCCCTTCTCAACATTCCGTTTCAGTAAGAAGCCCATCAACATACTGAAAGAAAAGACTCAGCAACTTCCAGTTTACACACAATTTAAAAGTGACATATTACACCACTTTTTACAAGTCTCAAATGTCCCCAGAGTGTGTGAAGTTTCAGTTTAAATTACCACAGAAATAATGTTTTATAACACTTTGAAACTGACCCATTTAAGTTTTGATACTAAAGGTGCCATTTTGGTGGCTGTCGCCTTAAATTCAAATGAAAGAGTGCTCTTTTCAGAAAAGGGCGGATCTCCAAATGCCCATGTGTCGTGTCAGCATAGTGTCAGATTTAAAAGCAAGACGAATGTCAGTGGCAGTGGTGTAGTGGTTAGTGCGTCGACACATGCACTCCAGTGCTCATGGTGACCCGAGTTCGATTCCGCCCTCGCAGTCCTACGCCGATCCTTCCCCTCTCTCTGCTCCCCCTCTCTCATTGGAGGACTTTACTCTCGGTAACTTAATTCCTGGTTTTGTTCCGGAAATTATTATTTTACAAATGAAGCACTGAGATTTGGATTGTGGGCGGGGCTTGGGTGGAGTGGTGGGCGGGGCCTCTTCTCATGTAAATATTCTCCATCTTTCCTCTGTGTTCAGATCCAGAGCATCACTGATAGTTCTCGCGGCTCAATCCGCCGTAAAAACCCGGCGGCCGTCACGACTCAGCTAAGCGTCACTGAAGAGCCAGCGGCCAGCAGCAAAGAGCAGAAACCAGAAGAGGAGGTACAGAATCACTGACACACTCACAGTTTTCATCTTGCATTGCTATAACAGCCTCATTGCTTGTGCTGAACATGCTGTGATCGCAGCTTGACAGTCTTGTCTGATTTCACCGTTTTTTGTGATGCCTTTCAAAGTAATGGACACTGAAGAATCCACTCTGACTCTCTCTCTCTTTCTAAAATTATTCTTTTTTTGAAAATATTTATGTATTTATTTTTGTAATTGATTAATTATGTAATTATTTTTTTTAGAAATGTTAAAAATAAATTAAATGTGAAATTACTTTTAATTATACAAAATGCTCTTAATGTGCATGGTAATGATTTAATTGCATATTTTAAGATTTAATTTAATTAAATCATAATTTATTTTGATTAATTAATTAATTTAAATTGCATATAATAACAAATGAAAGTATTCGTGCAATAAATTAATTAAAATTGTTTGTTTTTAGTGCTTTTGCAGGGTACTTTTTCAAAGCATTTGAAACTTTTATTCTTAGTTACATTTGTTTGCTCTTTATTGTTTTAATTAATTTAATTATCCCTTTTTAAAAATTATTGTCATTTTAACAATCTCTTTTTGATATGATTATTTAATTATTTTAAATTTATTTGAATCATTTTTTTTATTTCTTATTAATATTTAAATTATGAAACTGTGTATTTGTATTAATTTAATTTGTGTTTTTTTATTAGTTATAAAACATTATCGTATTAATTTAATAATCAGTTATTGTTTCTTTTTTAATGTATATCATCATCATTTTCACTCTCATTGTAATTATATCAGTTTGTTCTGTTTATGTACTATTTAGTATTTTATTAATTTAACTATGCTTTGTGTATTATTCATAGTAATATTTGAATGTTATTATAATGACTTTTATATAAGCTATTTTTATTTGCAAACTTTTTATATTTTAATGTAAATGTATTTATTGTATGTAATCATAATCATAACATCCATTATATTTTATCACTCTTCATGGATTTTTCTTCAGTTTTCGATTTCTGAAAAATGTATAAAAATAAAGACTAGAGCAACAAATTTAAAACTGGAATTAAGCATTTTAATTACATTTTATTTTATTCAATTAGATATCATTTTATTAAATGTCATTATTAACATCCATTATACTTTATTGCTGTTTATGCATTTTGATTCAGTTCTTGATTTCTGATTACAAGAATTAAAATAAAAAAAATAAATACAAAAATTAAAATTAAAATTAAAATAAAAAAAAAACTTTTATCAGTTTTCAGAAATCATGTTTCACATTGAGTTTTTAAGAGTTTGATTAATTAAAAGTTTACTCCAATTGTAATTTCATTTTTATCTTATTTTATTTTATATATTTTTTGTTTTGTTTTGTTTTATTTTATATTTTTTTTATTTTATTTTATTTATTTATTTTTTGTTTGTTTTATTTAATTTTATTTTATTTATATATTTTTTATATATATATATACATATATATATATTTTTTTTATTTTTTATTTTTTATTTTTTTATTTTATTTTATTTATTTTATTTTATTAGGCATTATTCTTGAGTTCATAAAATTTTTGCGTATTAACAGCTGTATGTTCTCCTTCTCTTCTGCCCTGGCATTCTCCACATGTATGTATGTATGTTTGGCTCCTGCCCTCTCAGTGTGTCCCTGTGTCCCCGTCCCAACAGGAGCAGCTCATTCATGATAAGAGCACGAACCCTCCGACCCCCGCCACTCCACAGTCACCCAGCGCAGACGCCCAGACGCCCGGTACCGCCGTCCAGATGACCTGGAGCGAAGTCAAGTGTGACGGAGAGCAGAACAAACCTGTTGGGGCAACAACACCCGAGGCCATCAAAGACCTCTTCAACATGAAGCCGTAAGACCATACTGATGGAGCTTACATTCACTGGAAGAAACAATCAAGAGTTTACAATCAAGAGCTCATTTGCTAAAAAAAAATCTGAAATTCTGAAAGCTTCTAAAATATATATATTTTTCAATAAAAAAAAATGTTGTGCATTAAAAAGCACAAAAACAGATTTATAGAATGATGAAAACAATTGAGCTTTTAGCAGTTTTGCAGTATTTGGAGACATTTAAATTTTTATATTGAGTTTTGAAGAGTTCAGTTGCAAAAAAAAGCTTCTAAAAATTCTGAATTTTATATTATTTAAAATTCTAAAACTCTAAAATACTTTAAAGAATTTCAAAATTCTAAAATACTTCAAATAATTCCAATATTCTAAAACACTTTTAAAAAATTCTAAAAACTTTTTAAAATTGAAAATAATTCTAAAACCTTTTATCATAAATCACATTTTAGGTTGAGTTTTGAAAAGCTCAATTGCTAAAAAATATCCGAAAAATTTTAAAAGTAAAAAAATAAAATAAAATTATATATATATATATATATATATATATATATATATATATATATATATATATATATATATATATATATATATATATATATATAGTTGAAGTCAGAATTATTATTTTATTCGGCTAAAATAAAAACATTTTAGGGACAAAATTATTAGCCCCTTTAAGCAATTTTTTTTTCAATAGTCTACAGAACAAACCATCATTATACAATAACTTGCCTAATTACCCTAACCTGCCTAGTTAACCTAATTAACCTAGTTAAGCCTTTAAATGTCACTTTAAGCTGTATAGAAGTGTCTTGAAAAATATCAAGTCAAATATTATTTACTGTCATCATGACAAAGATAAAATAAATCAGTTATTAGAAATAAGTTATAAAAACTATTATGTTTAGAAATGTGCTGAAAAAAATCTGCTCTCCGCCAAACAGAAATTAAGGGGAAAAAAAGCGGTCTAATAATTAAGGGGGGCTAATAATTCTGACTTCAACTGTATATATATATATATATACAATTTTTTTTATTAATTAAAAAATAATTCTAAAAGTTCTAAAATTCTAGATATTTACAAATTTTTTTAAATAATTTTAAATTCTAAAACCTGAAGCTTTTTCAGAAATCATATTTTTACATTGAGTTTTGAAGAGTTCAGTCGCAAAAAAATCTGAAAGCTTAAAATTTTAAATAATAAAAATCAAGTATAAAAAACTTCAAAAAATTCTCAAATTCTAAAATACTTCAAAAAAATTCTAAAAACTTTTTGAAAATGAAAATAATTCTAAAACCTTTTTTCAGAAATCACATTTTTACATTGAGTTTTGAAGAGTTCAGTCGCAACAAACTCTGAAAGCTTCTAAAAATAAAAAAATTCTAAAAACTTTTACAATGAGTTTTGAAGAGTTCAGTCACAAAAAAAATCTAAAAGCTTCTAAAAATTAAAATTATTAAAATATAAAAAAATATTAAAACCTTTTAAAAATTCTCAAATTCTAAAAACCTTTTTTAAAGTGTAGATGCAGTTTTGCGTTGCTTTCACACTCCTCTGTCTCTCTTTCTTTGTCCTGCTGCAGAGAATGGGAAAATCTGTGAGTATAGATGCTGTGAGAAACACATGAACACTCTCTGACGGATGCTGATGAATGTTTATGAGCTGATCATCAATGTTTTTTTTTTTTTGCTTTCAGAAACCAGTCGAACGTGAGGCGCATGCACACCGCACTTAGACTCAATGAAGTCATTATTAAGAAATCCCAGGAGGCCAAACTAGTGCTGCTGAACATGCCGGGACCACCCCGAAACAGAAGCGGAGACGAGAACTGTATCCTCATAAACCACCTCAGAATATCTGTGTCAAATTACAAGAATGATTGTTCACTATCATTATATGATTGAATCATTATTATTATTTTTTTTATTATTGTGGTTAATATTACTATTAATATTATTATTGTTATTATTTCTGTTATATTATTATTACTATTATATTATTCTTAATATTATTATAATAATAATTATTATTATTATTATTAATAATAATAATAATACTAATATGTTTTTATTATTGTTATTATTATTGTGGTTATTATTATTGTTGTTGTTGTTGTTGTTGTTATTACTATTATATTATTAATAATATTGTTGTTGTTATTATTATTATTATTATTATCATTACAATATCATCAGTGTTATTGTTATTATTATGGTTATTATTATTAATAATATTGTTATTATTACTGTTATATTATTATTAATATGGTTATTATTATTATCATCATTGTGGTTATTATTATTATTATTATTATTATTATCATCATCATTATTATTATTATTATTATTATTATTATTATTATTATTATTATTATGGTTACAATATCATCCTATAATATTACAATATCATTATTATTATTATTATTATTATTATTATTATTATTATAGTTATTAATGTATTTATTATTACTATTATTATTATTATTACTATTATTAAATTATTATTATTATTGTTATTATTGTGGTTATTATTATTATTATGGTTATTATTATTGTATTTATAATTACTATTATTACATTATTATTATATTATTATTATTATTATTATTATTAAATTAATATTATTATCATTATTGTGGTTATTATTATTATTATTGTGGTTATTATTTTTGTATTTATTATTACTATTATTACAATATTATTATTATTAATTTTATTACTATTGTTATTATTATTATTATTATTAAATTATTATTATTATTATTATTATCATTGTACTTATTATTACTATTATTATTATTTTATTTTTTTTTTTTATTCTAGTTATAATTTGTTTTTATTTTATGTTTTTGTGCAAACATCGAGTGAATTGCATTATGGGACCCCTCGCAAAAGTGACAGTAATGACATTTATATTATGTTATAAATATGTTATATTTATATTACAGCAGATTTTAATTTTAAAGTAAATGTTGCAAAAATGTTAAAAGAACAGCTTCCTTTCCTAAAGCATTTGAAAGCTTTGTGTGCTGGAAAAAAATAATATAAAAAAAATAATAATCCTCTAAAGAAAGTCTTGTTTTCTTTCGGCTAGAATAAAAAGCAGTTTTTAATTTTTTTAAACAGTTTTTAAGGTTTTTAAAAATCATTTTAAGGGCAATAATATTAGCCCCCTAACACAATATTTTTTTATTGTTTAATTATTATATTTTAGTCTACAGAACAAAGTGCTGTTACACAATGACTTGCCTAATTACCCTAACTTGTCTAATTAACCTAGTTAAGCCTTTAAATGGCACTTCAAGCTGAATACAAGTATCTTATCAAACATTATGTGCTGTCATCATGGCAAACATAAAATAAATCAGTTATTGGCATACCTGCCAACACTCCCGTTTTTCCCAGTAGTCTCACATATTTCATACCATCTCCCACTACCCTCCCGTTTACCTAGAAAACTCCCGTAATTTCATCCCCCTCACCCCGGTCCTCAGCTTTTTGGCACAGTCTGTAACAGCCACGGTTCATTTCCGATCTCAGCGGCCGAGCAAAACCCTAACACCATAGTACAGTTGCTAACCCAGTTCTCAACTGTGTTATTCACACACACACATACCCCACCCCACCAGACAAATGTTGGCAGGTGTGGTTATTGGAAATTAGTTATTAAAACTTTTATGTTTCGAAATGTGTTGAAAAAATCTCTCCGATAAACAGGAAATGGAAGAAAAAAAATAAGCAGGGGGGCTGATAATTCTGACTTCAACTGCATCTATGCGTACGTTTATATCTTTCTATTCCTTTACTCTCCTTCAACCAGACATGGAGTTCATGGAGGTTTTAACTGAGGGTCTCAACCGGGTCCTCCTAGTGCGTGGTGGAGGTCGTGAGGTCATCACCATCTACTCTTAAGAAACTAGTCAACATCACTGCCCTCCCCGTTTTCCCCTCGTCCCCCAAGCAATATCCCAGTATTCCCTTTCGGTCAAGCAGCTTCATCTGTTCCAGTTCTACCGATCTGCCAAACATTCACACTTTACTGCTCTGTGAAGAAGAAGAAGTGCACTGTTGATGTCAGTGGGTATTTGTTCAATGCCCCTCTGCTGTAGCTTTCCTACATCATCTGTCAATCACAGCTCTCGCCCAATCAGGAGAAGCGGTGGGTTGGGCTTGATTTGTCTTTATCGCTTCATTTCTTCGTCAGAGATGCTGTGAAATACTGCTCTGGTGGAGACTGATCACGGTTTACATCTTTTAGGTCTCCGGATGTGTTAAATGTGAAAAGATTTGGAGTGTGAGGAGTATATATACACACACACTTAAAAAAATAGGCTAATTTGAACTGTGAAATGTGAAGTTTAAAGTCAACGTGGAATGAAAGTTGGAGCTCTTTACTTCTGTGTCACTTTTTAGTTTATGTGCCAATTCTCGCTGTTATCTACGGGCTTTTTGACTGCTTGTTATTAAGATATTTACATTTATATTTACTCATTTAGCAGACATTTTTATCCGAAGTGACTTAGAAATGAGGATAAAAGAAGCACTTCAAATCACCAGAGGGTAGCAGTGTATAAATTCTATGATAAAGGTCCAACGAGCCGCAACGTCAACAAACAGAATCTGTCGCACAGTTAAGCAAGGTTGTCTAACCGTGGCAAGAATTCCGGGCCGAGAACGGTTCCAGGCTCCGTATAGAAACAACCGTAATTGTACCGAAGAGTTCTTAGAACAGTTTGGCACGATAGTGGAAAAGCGGCTTAAGTTACTAAGCCTACGAGTCTAAATTATTTTTTATTATTATGTAATTAATATATTTATATATTTTTGTTTCTTAATGTATTTTTTTATTATTATTTTAATTTATTTATTTATATAAATATCTATTTATTTATTATTTCATTCTTTCTTAGCTTTTATTTCTTAATTTATTTTTTCTTTCTTTATTTTTATTAGTTTATTTATTTATTTGATATATTTTTATTTATTTATAATTATTTATTTTTCTTTCTTTAATTTCGTTTATTTATATTTTATTCGTTTATTTTTAAATTTATTTTATTTATTTATTTTTATTTATTTAATAGTTTTTATCTTTGTTTATTTTATTTTATTTTTTGCATTTATTTATTAGTTTGTCTTTCTTAGTTTGTTTTAAAAGAAATTTAGTTTGTATTTATTTATTGTATTTTTATTTATTTATTTATTTTTATTTATTTATTTTATAGTTTATACCTTTTTTCTTTCCTTATTTATTTGATTAATTTTTTTTATTTATTTATTTATTTATTTATTTATTTTTGGCTGCATATTAGTACTTATAAAGTACAGTATAATTCTACATTCCCAATTATTAATTCCTGTTATAATTAATAATAACTAAAATCTAACTATTAACAAGCAGCAGTTAAGTGTTGATTGAAGTAAAAGTCTTAGTTAACAGTCTATTAATAGCAAGAATTGTACCCTAAAATAAAGTGTGACCTCCTTTTGTAAATGATTAGTGCATGCTACTCAAAAAAAAGCATAAAAGTTGCTCCATTTATACTTTTTTAAACTCCAATTACATTTTCTCACACTTATTTTTGGTTGGGTGGGTAAATTAAGTGACAACTGCATTTCATGTTGACTTTAAGCAGGATCCTCTGCACAAACACCTGTTGTTCTACTTCTGTGTCTGTGTAGTCTCCTCAACCTCCTCCGTGTTTTGTTTCTCGTCCATTCCTAGCTATCCCCCTGCCAAATACAGTCACAATATGTGCCAAAAAAGCGAGGCTGGCAGGGTGTGCGACAAGCGAGAGTCTATCAGTGTAACCCACACTGTAATTAGCAAAAGAACGAGCTTAAAAAAAAATTCCCAGCCACTCTGAAGTAGTGTAAATAGTGCGTTATTATTGAATATCAGTGTAGTATCTTGAGTTGTGAAGATTCTGGTGAAGAAACGCTGTTGTTTTACAGGGTCAGGGTGTTTTTGGGTGGCTACAGGATTCACTATGGCGGCTTGAAGTACTACAGTACCGAACCTCCCCTCCACAACAAGCACTCAACCTGCACTGACAGCCACTGTGTAACAAATGATTTAATGAGTCTGTGGGTTCATTAAATGAACGTGAGTGTGTGTGTGTGCATGCATGTGTGTATGTGCGTGTGTGTGTGTGTGTTGCATCCTTGAGCAAACAGAAGTTGCCCATATCTTTAGTTTTATTCCCATTTTGCTGAAAAGAAACCTACGTTTGTTGCATTTACAGCTAAATCAGCTATATTAGACAGAATCTATATTATATTTGGTGGGTTACACCGGAAATGCGTCACAGAGCTACCCTGCTGAAAAATCCAGCTTAAACCAGCCTAGGCTGGTTTAAGCTGGATTTTTCAGCAGGGTATATATATATAGAGAGAGAGAGAGAGGATTATAGTATTTGATTGTATTGCCAAACATCGATTTCACTTGTGCCATAAGACTGACAATGTGAACTTGTCAGCTGAGACAAACACTGAAGACGTCGTCACTTTAAATGCTAACTCTGCATCGTCCAAATTAACTGCAATTTACTATATGTGAGATAACCCCAAGTCTATATTGGCTTGGTGTAAGACCTACAGAATGGCAGCTAGTATTTTGTATTGCTTTGCTGTTGCGAGAAGCAAATTTGTGTGATTTCGAAGAAGTAGATTGCTGTCATTATCAACAAAGCCGCACACGGATCCATTTTGGGCGTTGCCATAGTAACAAATGATTTTTGAGTCCACAAACAGCTTGGAATAGACTCAGAGTTGTGGTTTTGGTAATTGCGGTAATTCCAGCGAAAAGTGAACGCAGATTGAGCTGTTTCGACAAAGCGTGATGGGTCAAATAACATCCAGAAATCTGAACTCTATGCAGCGTGAGTGTAATGCATTTGCCAAATCGAACGAGATTACTTGCTAAATGAACCTCTGCGCTTAAATCAGAATGTGTATTTTTTTGAGAGCATAATATATGTGAAATTGGGAAATCATATATTCATTCTATTATTTATTTTTGTAGGGATAGGCTATTTTATACAGGCTTGTTTTCGCAGAAATACCAACATTGCATATACATATATATACTCGCCGGCCAGTTTATTAGGTACACCTGTCCAACTGCTTGTTAACATACATTTCTAATCAGCCAATCACATGGCTGAAGCTCAAGGCCTTTGTGCATGTAGACATGGTCAGGACGATCTGCTGCAGTTTAAACCGAGCATCAGAACGGGGAAGAAACTTGATTTAAGTGACTTTGAACGTGGCATGGTTGTTGGTGCCAGACGGGCTGGTCTGAGTATTTCAGAAACTGTAGATCTACTGGGATTTTTACGCCAACTATCTCTAGGGTTTACAGAGAATAACCCGGAAAAGATCAAATATCCAGTGAGCGGCAGTTCTGTGGGCGCAAATGCCTTGTTGATAACCAACTCAAATTACCACTCGCTACAACCGAGGTCTGTAGAAGAGCATCTCCGAACACACAACACGTCCAACCTTGAGGCAGATGGGCTACAGCAGCAGAAGACCACACCGGGTGCCACTCCTGTCAGCTAAGAACAGGAAACTGAGGCTACATGTTGGAAGAATGGAGTGGAAGAATCACATCATGAATGTGCAGCCGACAAATCTGCAAGCATCTGCGTGATGCTATCACCTCAATATGGAGCAAAATCTCTAAGGAATATTTTTCAGTAGGCAAAAAGGAGTCCAACCCAGTACTAGTAAGGTGTACCTAATAAAGTGGCCGGTGAGTGTATACAAACAAGCCCACAATTATTCATACCCCTAGGCTATGAATAAATTCAGGCTTGAATGTATGTGTATACACGAATATATAGATAAAATGTATACACAAATATATATAACTTGAATCTCACTGGTGGTAAAGTAGTTTACAAAGTGATTACAGATTAGTTTATGTTCACACATGGGAAAACCTGTCATAAGATATGAATGCTGCTGCTAACGTATGGATAGATTTGAATCGTGCGTGTACATAGAGCGAACAAATTAATATAAAAGGTATATTTACGAGGGGAGGGGTTGACGCTGAGATTGCATACAAGTATCAGCGTTTGCATCGAAGACGACTTCAGCCTTATATATATATATATATATTGAGCTTTATCATAGTTCGTTTATTTTGTATTTATTTAACCGTGATTTTTTTTCAAGATGAATCTGAACAAAATGCAAAATGTGTCGAAACACATTTTTAACAAAGTACTGCCTGCGTAGACTGAGCCTCTGATGACGTTTCGACAATTAGTTCACATGACGATGTTTTAACGAACACTTTTACTCCTGTTTGCATGGTGTGTGTTGGAAAAAAAAAAATTGTTCGATTTTCGTAACGTGAAAAGAGAAGTTCCTGGTAAATTGTCGAGGCAGCTTTTTCAGCACGGATATCCAGGAAACAATATATATGTGTTTAGCATTCTTACGTGTACACTTAGTCTAGCGGGATACTTGCAAGATACTTGTTTTTGACTTTGTATATAATAGCGCTCTTGAGACACCGTAGCTACAGGAACGTGGTTCCCTGTTGTGTTTTGTTAGGACGCTTTTAGTACACACCAGAACAAAAAAACAAACTTTTATTGGTTTTCAACGGTAACGTGCAATATTGATTTCATTGGGAAACGGTATGTATGCTGTATTTTCATTCTTTTGTTTCGCTAGTTTGCCCACGAGTCTGCTTCTCGTAGAATAGTCCATCGGCGCGCTTTGTATGCTAGAGTGTGCGTCACATCTGTTCTATGGTGGCTGAGATAGAAATGCACTTTATACAAAGTTAACGTTATTCACGTGACGATTGAGTCGCCAGAATCGTGAGCATGCCAGATCCATTTCAGCACCGAAGCCTCTAGTGGCGAAAGTGTGCACTGCATCGGCCGCACAGCGAGAGTTTTTGTTCGCTGCAGTAACATACTACCTGAACATACTGACTTTATTATGCTGTAAAAAAATTTAAAGTGTGTGCGTGCGTGTGTGTTTGCTGTTTATTTGGCATGAATTTCTAGCATTTCTTGTAATTTATTGAAAACGATGAAAAGAGTATACGTAGATGTGTAAAAAAAAAAAAAAAGAAGATATATTTATAATACAAATCACTGAGTTGATGTGGTGACATCATATCCCTCCCACAATCCCTCTTTTCACTCCCTACGACGTTTCCACTGAACCTACGAGCACTGTTTCGATGTGATCACCTTAAAATTATCGATTAAAGACTATAAAACAAGCGCTTCCACTGCTGGGCTTGGCTCTATTCAAACTGACAGTGGACACTCCATTCACAGCGTATCTCTTTCCTTTAACATCTCACGATTAATGCCTGCTTGTGTGTAGCAAAAAAAAAAGTGTTTTATATTCCTTCGATGAGGAATAGCAAGGCGTTCGACACATCTCGGAAACAAAAAAGGGCTCTGAATAACAGTCTGTGTACTTGCTTCTGGAGTTTAACCCACGCAACTGGATATTCTCTAAAATATATGGGAATCTCGCTTTATGGTTTTAATCCTACACTCTTGAAAATAATGGATGATCATTGCTTCTTTGTAGTTTAGGTTCTGTTATTTAGTTATTTGCTTTATGTGTTTTTTATAGTCTAGGACAGCTTTAAAATATAGTTTGCACTTTCTTTGAAGTTTAGGATCTGCAGAGATAATTGTTTTCTTTACAGCATGTTTACACTCTTGAAAATTACGGCATTGCCATTGATTGTCCCATGACATTTCTATGGCACTATGGTTTTGGTAAATTTTCCTTAGGTTTTTAAAATGTTCCTCACACTAAAACACAAATGTTTTTAAAGTCA